ATTTCTAGCGCCGTTCGGTTCGCATTTATACAAATCTCTAAACGCCTCGTTTCCTTGAAAGAGTGGGCTTTGCTCTTCATTTCAGTCATCTCGTTCCTATCAGATCAACATAGGGGTATAACTCATCCCATCCCTTCCCAGAGGTAAGAAAAAAAATAACAGCAAAATAAAACAAAAAATAGACAAATGTCAAAAACAGACCAACATGCTTGTGAAGCAGTTCCCGCCATGTGAATGCTCCCTTCTCCCTTAAACTCCACTATGAATGACTCCAGCGCCGAGTGCCTTTCAATCTGACACTCCGGCGAAGATGAGAAAAAAAAGAAAAATGCCAAAGTTGAAAACATAAATCGCGCCATTTTCTATCAGTCAAATGTGCCCATGCGCGGCCCAAAATATTCCCCTGGCGCAAGGTGCTTCAGCGTGCATCCCTTGCCCTCGCAGCCCATATCAGACGCCATGTTGCCCCACCAGTGGAATTGTACGTCGGTGTATTGCAAGGCAAAGAAAATGATGATACCTGAGATGGCGATGCCGCAAGACCAGGCTGCTGAGAGAACAAAGTTGTACTGGGGAAAAATCAGTCAGCTTAAGTTGGAGAGTTGTCAAAGGGGTTTGGGGGGAAAATCGCTTACTTTGGACCAAAAGGACACAAACCGAGTCTTGAGGTAGACCCACGAAATCCACGCAATCGGGACAGATGGCCAGACGTACGACATGTTGTACGGTGCCCATACGATGCCGCCGTACATGATGGCCACTGGATGGATCTGCCGAGTCCAGGTCCACTTGGGGAACTTTTTGTTGAGCGCCCAGAAGAAGACGACGACGACGATGCCCAGCGGAAAGCCAACCAGAATCTCCGTATACTGTCCGGAATGGCCAAAAATCTTTTGCGGTCCAACTGTTCCCCACAGGACGGAGGCGGTGAAGAAGGTGTTGACGCCTGGGCAGGTGAGCTTGAACTGCGCATCGGGAGTGCAGACGCCAGTGATGCTCTTCATCTGGAAGTTGAGAACACCGGTGCAGATAACGGTGCTGATGAACGTGGCAATGATTTGGGCGATGAAGGTCTGACGAGGTGGAATCTTGACATAATGGGCGAGCTTGAGATCGTTACAGAACCACACGGCGTGTGCGCAGGTGACGTAGCCAAAGGACTTGAAGTAGTTCATGGCCAGCGCATTGCCATCAACAAAGGAGCCACCAATGAATTCGGCCAGCACGTTGAGGGTGACCTCAATGCCTGTCATGGCCTTGATGATACCCACGGGAATGACAAAGATGATGCAGAGTGCCAGGCCATAAAACACAACGCCGGGAGACGTGTTTGTATTCCACCCAGCGATGCCAGCAACGCCCAGGGCAATAGCAAGCACGAGGCAAATCAAGTACCACCACTCCGGAACCTCGGGGTATGCCTTCATCAGCCGGTTGTGAACGTCGAGAACTCTCTCGTCCTTGATCGGGTTCTTCTTCTTTCGGAAGCTGGCGAAAAGAGACTTGAACCCCATGACGATTTCGTGACGGTGGTATAGCACAGCGTAGGTCAAGGTCGATGTGTAGATGGCGAAGAAGAACATGTAAATGACAATGTTGCCGGCGCTCAAAAAGGGTGGCGAGTATGCTTTGTACTCTTCGGCGTGGAACAGTCCCCGGTCGTCAACGGCTCGGCTGATGTTGTAAAGCTTGCCAAAGTGGTCATATACGCGGTTGCTGTTGATGGGAAGGTAGCCGGTGTCGTAGACGTTGCTGTACCAGAAGGCGAGGACAACCCAGAAGGAGATGAAGACGCCGAAGAAACGGTTGAGCGTGCTGTAGAAAGGGACCATGAGAGGGTCGGCCGAGTCCCAAAGCAAAACGTTCCAGTCAAAGGTCGGGAATGGGTTGACGCCTAGGCCATGGTTGATGCCGGTGATGACGTTGAGGTCGCGGTTGTGGGGGGCGATCCAGGTCAGCCAGTTGAACCTAGACAAGGCAGTGAAGATGTAGTTGGGGAACCAAAACCAGACAAACATGGCGCCAAACATGAGGTAGAAAAACTTGATGCGAGAAATCTTCCACTTCTTGCCAAAAGGGCCTTCGACTGCGGCATTGGATTCGTTGTGAAAAGCCTTGTTGAGGGCAATGGTGACGAGAGAGGCCGGCCACACGCAGTACGACGGATAGACGAGAAAGCGGCGACAGATGCCAGCCATGCCGTAGCCAATAAAGTTTGTGGCCAGGGCAATGAGGAGCTGGTAGGCAACGTGCGATGCGTACGGTTGATTAAAGTACTGGGGCAAATACTGCACCCAGATGATGTTGTTGGTATAGGGCGTGTTGTAAGCCACGTTTGCCATGATGGTGATAAGCATGTGCTCCTTCTTCGAGAAAGGGCCGGGGTTGAGGGAGTGATATGTGCCAAAGAGGGTGAAACCGACGTCTGGCAGCCAGTTTTCGCACGCCTTGCCCACAGGGTAGGACAGTAGCTGGGCAACATTGGCCATGACGCGGATCGCGGGCTGCCGAATGTCGAACAATTGGTTAATGAAGGCTAGCAGGCAGCTAAAAGCCAGCCCAATGACCCAGCTGCGGATAGTCGAGCAGGGCGTTGTGGGATCGTCCTTGTTGCTGACAACTGCACGAACTTCGGCGTAGGGGCTGTTGCTGGTGACGAGAGCGGCTTCCAGCTTCATCTCCTGGATCAGGTGCTGATGCTTCTCGGGGTTGGAAAATACAGACTCATTTTCGAGAAAGGCTTTGATCTTTTGGATAATAATTGAGGGAAAGTTGTGGTCTTTTTCGTGGACGCGAAAGACTCGAGTCATGATGTCGCGGACCTCTTGGAGTGTGTATCGGGAGGCGAGCTCCTGGGCCTCGAGCAAATCATCTTCGGTGACGTTGAGGTCGTGCTCGGTGGTGTTCTGCGGAGAATAGTAGTCGCGATCGTCTTCGTCGTAGGAAAAGGGCTCCTGCGAAAGGGGGCGGGCGGCAAAGAGCCCAAACAGTCAGTTGTGCTATTTCATTGAGGAAGCTGATGACGAGGAATGACAGGTTTTGAAACAAGAGGAAACGAAGAGAGAAAGAAAGGACAGAAGAGAGGGAAGAAGACAGCGGAAGACTGTTGAAAGCAAGACGAAGGACGCAAAAGCAGGCTCAGGCAAACGAATGGTGTCGTCGCTGGCCCATCCAATGGCTTTTTTTCCTTTTCAATTTTTCCAAACATGAACCCTGGTGGCGATGCTTGCTTCCAGTGCAGATGCGACACCGCCCGCGCAACAACATTCCCAGCGCAAAAACAGAGACAAGCAGAATTGCTTCGACTATGGCGTCCTTACCGAAATAACGTCCTTGATACCGTCATCGACGATGGACGGACGAGACGAATTGGGCGTCATCTCGGCCACCCCGCCAGTGGCAGCGGCCTTCTCGTCGTCGCTCATCGGACAAGGACAGGGACAGGATGAGCCAGACCTCGACCTAGACCTGGGGCGACGAGTCGGACGGCGCTCCTCGTCTCGCTGTCGTCTCTCGATTCGGGGGGGCGATGAGGCCGGCGAGGCCAGTGGACAGCACGAGGCAGAGGGTCGAGGGCCAAGGCTGAAGAGCTGTAGAGCGAGTGGACTGGAAGAAGAAAAAAGGAAGACGAGATCCAAGGCCGACGAAAAAGACGCCAAGGGCAAGGCCTGGACGCAGGGACGGATGGCGGATTGGGGATGACGGGCTTTTGGCAGTGGGCTTTGGCTGCTCGGGGGCCCGTCCTAGCGCCTTTGGGGCGGCTCTCGAGGCTTACGGGGGGCCTATCGGGGCCCTATTGGGGCTCTCTGGGGGACTTCTGGGTCGTTTTCCAGCGGGCTCACTCACTATCCACTGAGCAGGGCAGCGGAGGGCACGCAATTGATGCCGCAAGGTACTCCGCAGGTCGTCCCAACGGGTACTTGGTCCACTCCAGGTACATGCAATTGATCGGATGAATGAGTGCCAATGGGTGCTGCTTGGTGCGGCCACGGCCAGGTGAGACTCGGTCGGTCACACTCTGACGCCCGGGGGTACCTGTGCGGTACTTTCTTCTGATTCCGAGGCCTCAACGGCAACGCCAAGATGCTCTTAGCAATGGAGAATGGATACACGGTTGATGGCCTTCCCTTACGAGAGAGTACCTGCAGCGTCACCTTGCCAGAGCCTGCTGCGCCTCAATGCGACATGCACACTGCACCACTCGCTGCGGGCGGCACAAGTACCTGCTCGAAGCATCTGGGGAGGTCTTGGCACTTTCGTCAAGTACACTCCAGGTTGCGGGTACTTGCCGCTGTGGTATCGCGATAAGAAGCCGCTGATTTACCTACGGCTACAGGTACAGTACGGCACAGATGCAACACAACATCAACGTGGATGAACATCAATCACCACCTCCTCACTTGACAGTCCGCCGAGTGCGTGAATTCATTGCGATACCGTCGTCTTGTGGGTACATCCTATTTTGCTCTTTTCCTTTCTTCTTTTTCATTTTTCATTTTTTCACATTTTTTTCTCTTTTCCTCTTCTGCCGTGCAACCATGCAAGTTCTGCTCCTCAACGGCAAAATCGGCTCTTCAGCCCTCATCCCTAGTGGCGAGATCGTCACGTCTCTTCCTGATACCCAGCTCTCCACTGGCTAACAAGGCATCAGGGCGTTGCATCGTCTGTTTCCAGCTGCATGGCTGCTAACACAGTCCCAGATAGTGCCTTGTCTACACTACAGAGTGTCTGGTGCTTGTTTTCATGCTTGGGCTTTTGCTTGGGCTTGGGCTTCAGATATCAATGCAACCACCAGTGACGGACCAAGGTCTCACACTTCCCGCGTCTCTGTATCGCACAGCTACAGTACGAGTACAGAACAGCAGCACCCGAGAAGCAACGCTTCTAGCGGCTCTTTTCGAAGTCTATCCATGCCCAATGCCTCCAATAGGGCGCTAGGGGCTGCTAATCGGCACACGGCAATCATGGCTCGTGGTCGAGGTCCCACTGGACGGATGGCGATCGGCTTAGACGGCACGCGAGAAGCAGCTTTGAGAGTCATCCGGCATCAGTCATCAGTCGACAGCTCGGACAGCTGGCGAATGGAGAGCTCGTATCGGCTTGCAGAGCTTTGTCCAACGCCATTCAGACAGGAGCTGCCAGTGGCTGGCACATAATTTGAGGCAGGCGGGAGGATTTATCATGTACCAGGTGCTACATACAAGCGGTTTCGTATGTACAAGTGGCTTCGTACAAACGACAGGCCATGTCATGTCATGCCTGATGGTCGCTCTACACTGAGTCTACAGAATGTACAATGGGGCGGTGGTTCTGTGTCTCAGCCTCTGTTTCTGGCCCTCTAGCCTTATCGGCACAAACGATGGGATGAAGATCCCGCTCGCCTGTCGCATTTGCTACCTGCCCTATCAACCCTCTGAATCTCCGGCCATCACCACAAGTTGCATCTCAACAATCCCGAGCGATTGCCGCAGCGGCCCAGCGGTCGGTAGTGACGGCGCAAGCGCGGCTCCATCCTTGTGCGATCTGATTTCCTTGTATGGAGTACCGCGAGGGAACAACTGTGTCGCTGTCATCAATGTCATCCTGGCCGTTGGCTACGCTGGGCGGGACTCGGCATAGTAGCGCCTCCATTCCAGTTGCTAGGCCTAGCCCGTGCGACGCCGAGTATCCACGCTGCAGAGTACGTGTTACATGTTTTGCTTCTGGCTTTCCTCCTTGGCTTTTGGTCAGCTCAACAGACGTTGAATATCCAGCAAAGTCACAAGCATATCCGCAATCTTGGGCTCACTGAACTGCCTCTTCTATACGGAGTTCAGGCACGCAGCACGCACAACGCACGTTGCCTGCAACCAAGGCGCAATTGGCCTGCCTCTTCCTCAGTCAAAGACCAAAAATCCCCCATTTCCCCGGCTCAACTCTCGGCTCCACATTGCCGTCTTGGCATTTCTCCCTGCTGACGCGTTCGAGGATCCGATGTCATGATGCTCTGCTTATCAGCAATTCAGGAAGTCGGTGAAGATATCTGGAGTATCAAGCATGTTCGACGGGTTCGTATATGTGCTCGGGTTATTCTGCTTGGCGGAAAGACACCAAACAGGACGCCGCAAAGTTTATAACAGGCAATAGTCGCCACTGTTAAGTAGATACAGCCACCACGCTGCAACAGGCCGCGGAGTTTCCAGTATCCTACTAACAGACAGTCACGCAATTCCCAATGATACCAACAAAATGGACCGAATTACCGGTAACTAGTACCTGACAACCAGGCACTACTAAAGTAGGTAGTCAGGTCCATGGATACATGTTTGGTGCGTATTTCTATAAAGCAGGTGGCTTACTCCGTACCTCGAACTCTAACGGCAGCAGCACAGGCGACATAAGGCAAGTATCCCGTACTATGATGACAAGTGAGAAGCTCTACCGTCTATGTTGTTTTTGCTCTTTTACGCCCACGAAGAAAGTTGTACGAATATTGCAATAGAAGTGATTGCATATCGAGACTGAGCTCAGCCCAGATTATGTTACCTGGTGGAGCTCGCATTCCATTTGTACGGGGGAGACAGAGAGATGGCATCATGCATGCTCTCACCGTCCCTCCTATATAAATTCGGCACTTCAGCTACTGATTATCTCCTATCCAACAAGCTGAACCCGGTGAGCATAGTAGGTGCAAGTCCACGATGGGTTTGTGCTTCCAGGCGATGCAACGGTCCAAAGTGATGAGTAGAGTGTCCATCACGACCGTTGGATGATCTTGTCTCGCTTGAATCAAGAACACCATGGAAAGCCGGGCATGTCGCATGTAATTCCAAGCTTGATTGAGAAAATTTGTAGCAAGCAGACTTCAATGTTATTTGCCATTCTTATTATTATTATATATATACAAGAGTCTCATGAGGAAAAGCTATATTGTATGTTTCTCCTTATGAGCCGTCATTGGAAGCTCTCTTACTAAGCAGAATCTGATACTCTTCGTAAACAGATTCAGGTACACCATCGTCTCCTGATTCTCTGTCAGTCTTTCAGAGCAATAACTCGATGGCCCAATAATAGCCCCAAAGGGACTGTATGTGCTTATTAGATTATGTATGCAAGCTCCCAAGCAAACAATGAACGAGAGGAGTGAAAAGACCAGTCCGTAAGTTGTCCGGTTGTTTCCTGCGAGACGCATGCTGTCGTATAGCCACGACATGGCCACTCCATTGAAAGAAATCTCGGGGTAATCGTTCGGTGGACTCAACCCAAATTTTAACACACCACATATAGTCGAGTTATTTCGGCGGCTTTGGAATCTTCTCCCACGGGCGGTCGTCAGGGGAGGCGTCTTTCTGACCCCGATCTTCTTCGGTTACATGAGCGCTGAACCTCCTCGTCATCTTGATGCCGTCAAACATGAGCTCTTCCACGCTATCCCCCTCCGCATCGCGACGGCTGGTGCGTGCTCGTGCACTGCTGACATGGTTGTGCGATCCGAGGGCGTAGGCAGACTTGCTCGTGACAGTTGTGTCCTCTCCGCCGAGTCCTAGCCATCGAAGCAACTGCCTTGTGAGAGGCACCCATACGATCGGTAGACCTGCAGCAACTCTATGGTTAACATGGAACTTGTAGGGGGTTTGGAGAGGACCAAATAACTTGTGAGGGTTGGTTGGTCTGATAAAGAATAGGAAAGAGACGTACAAGCACAAATGATTCCGACATTAGTCTCGACAAACGTCCAGCTGTTAGATACAGCTTGATAATCTGCACAGTTCTACTATTAGCATGCGTTGTGGAAGATTAGACGATTTGTAGATAATCGTTGACTGACAAGTCTGATCTGAAGCGGTCGTCTGCGGCGACACAGTAATCATTCGTATAACGGTACAGGCAATGACAAAGATACCCAGACTAAAGAGAGCGCAAAGCAGCAACTTCTTCACCAACGGCAGTTGGAGTCGTCGAATCTCGTTGATCGGCAACCCGATGATTAACATGTCCGTCACAATGTTCAACACAGACGTCGCTATTTTAACAGCAGTTAGTAAAGTTCCGCAACCAAACAGGATAGGCCAACACAATATAGGTAGTTTCCGACTCGACTCACAATACCAGATGCTGATGGAGTTGACACACTTGCCGGGCAAGGGCTTGTTCCAAGACTTTTCGATAGGATTGCAGGCAAAGACCGTCATAAGCACTGCGGCCAGCGTGTAAGCCGCAGTCACCGCCATGACGCTGACGACGGCCATGCGGAACTTGCGGTCCGGGAAGATTCGCAGATACAGCATGCCCAGGGACATTTTGGTGAGGCATGTCGTAACCTTGTATAGGATCTGGGCGGCAAAGAACCACTGTTGCTTTTCGGTCAGAGATTGCTTTGGTGGCTGTTCGTTTGCTATTCTTTACCTTGAAGGCCAGTATCTTGTGGTGCGCATCGATCTGGTCGCTGTGAAGTCCAAATCCATTTCCAGCCTCTGTTTGTTTTCCTTCGTATTAGTCACAAGATACTAAACGAGTTACAAAAGAAGCGAAACGAACCTCCATTGTAAGCAGCCGTCATGCAACAAGCAAGAGCCTGATAACGAGAAAATAAGAAACAAGTCAGACATCAATTCCCATCCAGCAAAACAAGTTGATTTAAATAAAGAGAACCAAAAGGGCATTCCGTACCAGTGCCGCCACAATCAAGACATCGTCAGCTCCCCAGGCCTTGGTGTGAAAGTATCTCGCTATCATCCGCAATATGACGAAGAAGCCCGCCAGAGAGACGAAGATGATGGACAAGTGCGCGAGACTCTCGCCGCGAGGATTCGGATCCCCATCATCAATGGCATCGCGCTTGCCGTACGGCGCGTCGATGCCGAAATCGATCATGGCATGCGAGGCAGAGCTCCAGTAATTAATTCGATTCGATGGGGTTCGTCGATCGCAAAATGCACATCACTTAACAACGGGCTGGAATACACGGGCGGCGGGACCGTGTTGGCTTAATAGGTCCAGAATTTCAAGATTTGTCTTCTACACCCCGGCTGTTGAGCGGCAATCGTCAAGAAGGATTCGGGCTGCGACGTTGCCATAACTGGGGAGAGACCGAGCAATACTAGCCCCTTTCATGGTCCCCTGCGTTAGGCTGGCTGGAAGCAGCCATGTCTGCAATCACTAGCAAAGAGTAGGTAGTATTACCACTATCACCTCAGCTCGGGGATGAAATCTGGGGGCCTTGTCGCAGAGTCGTATTGGTGAAGGGTTTCGTTTCCCGTCACGACGATACAACCCTGCGAGTCATGCGGGTCTACTCCGTAACTAATCCCAATTCCAAGCAGTTCGTCTGATGGAGGAGCCTCTGAAATGCGAAAATGTAACAGTAGCCCTTTCGGTTACAAGATACGAAGTGTTGTTGGTTCGCTTTGGGCTTGTTCAAGAGCATGTGTTGGTTCATGGGCCGATGCTCAAAGAGAAATAGGCCGAATCCTAGCAGTTTTAGTCGGCCTGCCAATCGTCTAAATTGCCGGAAACGGCCTTCCGCCTACAGAATATCAGTCTAAAAGATCAGCTAACGACGGGCTAGATCCACAGGCTCGGTTCTCGGTGTTTCTTCAAAATGCCCCTCTTTGCTCACTGCGATATATATTTGCAGAGTCCCGAACCATCTATTGAGCAGGGCCTGTTGTCCAGGCTGTTCTCAAGACCAGCAGCCTGGTCAGTATGCATAATTACAATCTCCTTTATACATTCACCAGTCTCCTATGCATCCAATGGCAATAATGAAAGAAGGAAAAGCCCAACTTGTGAAAGTGCCCATCAACTAGACAAATACGACTAATACGAGACTCCAATCCTCATTTTCTTCCCGTTCCCGGTTTCGGAAAGCAAGTCGTCTAACACCACGTGCTACGAGATAGTTACGTTTTACTTCGACTTACTAAACCCATTCCTGAATCGGCGTCTCAACTTTCACCATGTTAGAAGACCGACTCTGGGCACTTTTGAAAGGCCAGACCTATTTCTCTCCTCGCAGAATTTCGGGTTAATTAACGGCATTCCCCGGTGTGTCATTGCAGGGGCTGAATGTCGCCAGCCCGAATCCTTCGGTCCTCTGGGTAAATTGGACAACGCCATTGGACGGAAAAGAATCAAACAACGGCGTTGACGGAACACTTAAGACGCAGCCGTCTGTCAGTGGCGCAAATGTTTATTGCACGTCGTCTTTTTTTCCTTGTCTGACAGAATGCCGGTCGTCTTGGTTTTTTTCTCGTCTCAGAATTTTGACGAGCGGCTTCTCTTCCTACCCGGGCTAGACAAACAGCCACCGGTGACAATGTCCATGCCGTGGAAGAAGTAGAGCATCTCGTTGACGTCGGCTAAAAGGGAAGAAGAGCTCCAGGAAAAGTGGCCTCTGACTAGGACGGGACGGGCCAAGCCGAAAAGTATGATTGATGAGATGATGATGCATTGCTCTCTTCTCTCCTCATCCTCATAAAAACTAGGAGAAGCCTGACTCTCAAGATCATGCGACGATCCACCACACCGTAGCTAAACCGACTTACTATTCCGTTTCTCCTGCCCCTTCTCCTTACTATGATGGCAAGTCCTAAAAATTACGGCCCTCACATGATTTTTATCTTGGAGAAGTGGTAATGAGTTCCGGATATCCCGAGTTCATGCAACAAGATGCGCTTTACAACCTCTCGACCTCATATCATGCTTAAGAGAGCAATATTGCTCATCTTAAACCGCTAAGGAAACGAAAAACCCACTCGTCATTAAACTAAAAAGTGGCGGCTTTATCGACGGCAAGATTGACGGCAAGATCAATGGCAACATTGTGCGGCATGATACGAAATCGGAGACCAAAGTTCAAGTCACTGACTATGCTTTGCGTACTAGGCTAACTAACTAGTGCTTGGATTTAGCCATTTCGCGGTCGACATAGTCCGGGTGTCGGTCTTGGCAGAAGACTTCGGGATGCTCCCGACTCGAGGCGAAACCGCTGCTAAAGAAGAACTTTGGTTTCAAGCTAGTTGGCTTTAGCCGATTTCGAATCCGCGTAAACAGCCTGCTTGGAACTTTGTGTCTATAAAGAGAGGGATCAAGCCGCTGAACGCAGTATGTGGATGTTTGGCTTATACGCAGTGAGGAGTCAATCAGAATAGTGTGCAGTTCTTTGCTGTGCCATTTGACAACCCGGCCAACTGCACATGTAGGAAAAGTTACTCAATTGGCTAGAATCAGTTGTCAACGTTCGCCTACAGCGGATAGGCAAATCCACCAGTCTCCCATTTGCCAAGACGGGAGGGATGCCGAGACGGGGAGCAAATGGCAATAGGCCAGGTGAAGCATTATTCGCGGTATTCCCGATTCCCGGAGCCCAGCTTGATGAAGCATATGCAGAATGCCTCATTGCGACGGGCGCTAGAAATGACGGGCTGAAGAATACGGACCAGAAGGTCGGTAAGGACGGGAGAAGGCGTGAGTTTGGACAGGGCTCTCGTCTATTCATCACTTGTGAGCTGTAGAAGCGATCAATAGCGTCGATTACTGCCTTGAAGATGTGGATAGTCCTCGCCTAGCAAGGGATCTGATCTAGTGGCCAGCTATTCCCGAGATAGTCTCCATGACAATTGAAGTCTGAGTCTGCCACATCCAGTATACTCTGTATCCGTAGATGCTATGTAAGAGGGTATCATTGATCGTTCCTACCTGCACAGATCCCACAGATGGATCACATATCTCCCCGTTGCAGACAAGATGAGCACTAGAAGCAGCAATTCATCTCCCCGAATGCATTGCAAATGTCACCCTTGCCCGAAGCCCGCCACTAATCGCTCAACTCGGTTCCGCTTTCGACCAGGTCCCCCAGACGCAACTGAACCAAAACGGCCATCAACCGCAACACTCGACCAACAACTCCCAGCAAACAACAGCAACCAGGGACCTCGTTTTAGGACCCAGCTCCGGTCACCGTTGCTAGTCCTGTTACTCGTAGTATGGATACAGTTGCATTGGAAATAACCGCATCCACCACGTGTCTGCTACCATGCCTTTACTTGACCGGGCTAGCTTCGCGAGAAGATTCTCCCGACTCCAAGATGAGCCTTGCGCGTCGACCCGTCGCAAGTAGATTGTGTCACTAATCGGAAAGACATATAACTACGTTGTCGAGCGCTGTGTGTCGCCCGCCATGTTATGTAGCTGAAGAACGTAGAGGATAGAGGGGAAACCAGAAAAGCCACAAAAACACAAAAACACAAAACCAACTTCCATTCTCTCCTTGTCTTTCCCTCCTCGTCAATTGGAACAATGCAGTCGCGTTCTCTCGCTCTCGCTGGTCTCGTGGCTTGCGCCCAGGCCCTGGACACGGTCCAATACGGCGCCTTGTGAGTCTACGGAATCTCTAGAACCTCTGACCAAGGCATTGATTGACTGTGATACCGCAGTCTGGCTACGGCCACCTACTCCGTCGCCAACCAGCTGGGCTTCTTCACCGAAAACGGCCTCAATGTCGTCTACAACCAGGTGCCCAACAGCACGGCTGCCTTTGCCTCCATCCTCAACGGCGAATACGACATCCTGACAGCGACGGTCGACAATGCGCTCAACTACCGCTTCAACCAGAACCAGAACGTGACCGTCATCGGCCAGCTGGATCAGGGCCCAGATCTGGTGCTCGCGTCCATCCCGTCCATCACCAGCATCGACCAGCTCAAGGGCAAGCCAATCATTGTCGACTCGCCCCTCAGCGGCTACGCATATCTGCTGCAGGATGTTCTGGCCACCCACGGCTTAACGCTGGCCAACAACGACTACTACTTCATGGTGAGTTGAGCTGAGCAACAGAGAAGAAAAACAATTGGACAATGAAACTAACATGCTGCAATGTAAGACCGTCGGCGGAACTCCCCAGCGATTCTCCGCCCTTGTCAACGAGGCTCTCCCCAACGGCACCGCAGTCTATGCCACCATCCTCACTTACCCCTTCGCCGTCGAGGGCGATGCTCTCGCTCCCGGCCAGGCCCCCAACATTCTCGCCCGCATCTCCGACGTCGTCGCCCCCGTCACCTCGAGCGCCTTCACCATCCGCCAGTCCTCCCTGAGCAACAAGGCTGAAAACGCCCTGCTGACTCGCTTCATGGCCTCCATGTACGCCGCCAACAAGTTCCTGCTCAACCCCAAGAACAAGCCGTGCTCCATCCAGGCCCTCGTCAAGCAGCTGGGCGTCTCTCAGGCTGTTGCCACGCAGGAGTACGCTTCTGCCACCAACCTGCTGTCCGGAGAGGTCTCGCCGCCGCTCAACGACTTCACCGTCAACCCGACGGGCATCATGAACGATGTCGACATCAGGAAGCAGTTTGGCGGCTTCAGCGTTCCGGCGACCTTTAACTTTGCTAAAGCTCTTGTTCCGGGCGTTGGTAAGCTCATTGACTATTCCGTCAGGAACGCCGCCGTTGAGCAGTACAAGAAGCACCCCTTGACTGGCAACTGCACACAGTCCTGCAAGCCACACCCATAAGGGACTGTAAAGGCTCTGGGTTCCGGCTTGTTATTTCTTTAATATTCCTATATAGACATATAGATATTTACGATACGTTTCGTACGCCGCAACTTTAATCTAATTGTTTCCAACGTTTACAATAAGGAGCCAGGATCTAGTTGGCTTGTCCGATATGTGATGTCAACACCAGACTCATTTCCGCAAGTCTAGCTTCATTATATACAGCATTCTATACACTCATCATGTCATGTAAGTGAATTCTTATAATTGAATGCTTGGAAATCTGGAACAGTACGAATGATGTGCAGATCATAAGACATAAAAGTTCTTGAAACCTAGCGAGAGTCAATCCAAAATGGGGTTCCAGAAGCCTGTTCTTGAATTTATACATAACGTGACAGGCGTAGATTCTTCGAGATGCATACCTTGAAAGGGGTTTCATCAAAATCAGGTGAATGATTCGGGATAGCTAATCTAAGAAGAAATGTGAATAGGTGCGTCTGTATTATTATCAAGATTGGAGAATCATGATTCGAAGATGCAGAACTTGCAGTACTACCTTCAAACCTCAACCCCTATTTCTCATAATTTAGTATACTGTGACTTATCTTCGGGCAAGAAGGCAGGAAATATTGTTGCTTTATCTCGTGGGTAGTTGAATCCTTTAGGATCTACTTAATTAGTAGCTTAATTTGACCGATTTTCTACAGGTGGTTGTATTCAATTTCAAAACAACGGAATGTATTCACATATGCCGATTCTAGGTCGCTGGTCAAACTTTTCGCCAATAGGTTCCCTTTTGATTCATTGTTCCATGCCTCTGTGCATATAAAAAATGAGGATGATTTCATACGTGAGAGTAAAGCTGTATTTTACAATGAAATTTGATGGAAAAAGAACTATCAGGGCATTGGAACACAAGACAAAAGTGATGAAGCCAAAGACAAAGAGGTGAGCAGCAGACTAGCTCGAATCCTGTAGCTAGTGAAGGAAAGGGGGCCGTATTTAACTCTAAAGCCCTTCAACAAAGGTAGTAAACTCAAGGTGCTTCTATTCAGCTATCCAGCTTCTCAACCTCTTACCGGAGCACCTATAGTTCACATCAGAGACTTTAGATTGTTAAACAACCTCAGCTTGACCAAATTCCAATATCCTCCAGCATCACTGGTAGACTCATGTCCTGTATTTCAACTTTTCTAGAACATAGCCTAGAATTAAAGTCTTTGTACCATTGAAGCTGATGAAACTGTCTGATTGAAAACTTGTAACAACATTTTCATGGTTATCACAACTAACAGTTTTCAACTGCAACGTGCCTCAAAAGCACAAAATAGACATCTACTACGATTCTAAGCCAGTATCTAACTTGAACCCCGCGAAAACAAGTCTTGGCGAATGACTATCCATCGGCGACTTTTATAAAGTCCGCCGGAGAATGATCGAATAGTGAGAACCCCCAACCAAGATTTGATGACAGGTCATAAAGTATCTCTTAGAATACTGAATCCTTTTAGATCTTGTGCTTCATAGAACACCTATTAGCTCAGTATTTACAAGCACCACGACGGCCGATGGATTGGGGATCGGTTACCGGCAATCTCTGACAGTATCTACAGATGCAATACAGGTTAGCACCATTACAAGTCCCGCAAGTCCGCAAATCTCGCGATAGTCATCCGGAGAATGCAGCAGATAAGAAAACAGAAATGAGTAATAAGGAACAGCGTATCATCATCTTTCTACAGAGCTATGTTAAACATCATCTCATGTCCTAGAACCGTAGTTGAAGTACGATAAATAAGATGTACACAGGGCACTGCTATCTTGGTCATGATCAATTACAAATAATTTGTCAAAAAACAAGATTAAGAGAAGATGATTCCCTTCCACTACCACATCAATACAAGAACAAAACAAAATAAACACCCAATATTGATCGATGGAATACGGATATCGGCATCCGGTCATCTTTCGTATAAACAAACAGCTTACATCCCACAGGCCACGGAGTACGGTAAAATACCATCCAAAACGACTGGAGCTCCATATCAATCTCCATGCAAGAGCCCCCCACGCCCCCCAAACAAAGTCCCCCCGTCAGATATCATTACGAAACATCTACCACAGAACACCGTTGATACACAAAACCTCCTAATCGGGCTTGTACTACAGTACACAAGCAATTGAGCTTCCAAAAGCCCTGACATCGTTAATGACACATGAATACAACTCTCAAATCACCATCTTGACTGATATACTCAGAGACGGACACATGTATGTGCTGCAACACCACAACACAGATGAAGTAAACGAACGATGAAAGAAATCACCGATTCCAGCAAAAAATCAGGCATCAATTTGCCAAAACATCGGGAGTCCACACCCAAGGGTAATCCTTCCGGTCTCTTCCCCCCATTCCAAAACCTACCAAGCGGTATTTGGCAGCTTCCAACACCCCGTTACCGTGACATTGCATCGACGCTGATTGGGCCGCCAGAAATGTCACGCGCCGCGATTCATCGGGATTTTTAAACAAAAGGTAAAAAAAAGTCCTCACAAAAAGGCATGGAGCACATTGCAACCGCACAGACTACATGTACAGTTGTAACGCAGCATCCATTCTGCTCCGGTATTTGGCTTCCCGAGGCCCGGCCGGCCCCCCATATCTTCGCCTATATGCAATGCTACGTTCTTTCTTTATGCATGCAGAGACACCCACACAGACACAGAGAAGTGGAAACAAAGGCAAAGAGAGAGAAAGAAAAAAAAAGGACCCCAACAGGTTTCGGGGAGATATCAAGCCCTTGCCCGTGGGGGGAGGATGGATGAGGGCAAGGAATTCAACCAGCATAAAACACATCCAATTGCGCAATAATACGCATACACCGAATAAATCCGAAAAAGCGCTTGGTCGAAACAAGCAATGCCTGGAAGGGAAAAGGCAACGCAGGGCTGTGAGCCTCCCTCATTCTGAAATTTTAACCCTGCCTCTTTTCCCAGTCTGGTCACCGAAATCCTTTTTCGTGTGTCGGACAACTTTTTTGCGCGGGATGAGCAAAAGAGCAGAAAAACAACAAGCAAGCAAAAAAGCAGCAGCAAGCAGGCTTCAACCCTGCTCATACAGCATCCCACACAATGGATAACAGCACGTCACATCACCCACACTCTCCTTCTCTCTCTCTGCCTCTCTTCTGTGGTGTATCTTTTTCCAAGAGCCCACTTTCCAAGATGTCAATGTCTTTTTTGATGAGGTTCATTTATCTGAAAGCCCGCCTGTCAGACGCCTATCGATCCATCTCGTAAAAAAAGAAAAAAAAAAAAAAAAAGAGGCTTACACAACAAAAACCAACAACTCCATGCCCCTCTCTTCACCAAATTACTGATCGATAGGCGAGCGGAAGGGCTCGACTACTCTCGAATCTCGCCTAGCCCGCTTTGCTTCTCCTCGCATTCTGAATCCGCATACGAAAAGGAAAATGGGAGAACCAAGAGACAGAGAGAGAGAGAGGGTAAGGTAGGGGGGTGGTTCCGGAGGACGGAGAAGAGCGAAATACAACAGTATTTCTTGTTTACCACCCCCCTCCCCCCCAAAACTGACACGCAGCCCTGTCGAATGGGGGGAATTAAGCGTCAGCATCAAAAGAAGAGAGAAAAGCACAGACTGGACACGAGAGAAAAACGCCATCTCGGGGGCTTCGACCAGATCGGTCCATCCCTCCGGGTTGGCTTGGCTCGGCCGAATCGGCCGAGGGAAAAGCCGTCATCGTGCATGGCCCTGCTCTCCATTGCCCATTAAAGACTGCTAAAGAAATGCTAAAGACACTCTAGCATCCCCGTGCTAGGGAGCGGCAGAGGCAAGCTTTTTGGGGCCGTTTTAGCTTTAGTGGTGTCTTGACTTGGGCACTAAAAATGAAACGCTCGACCAAAGAGTGTTAATTGTACTCCGTATTTTGTCCCCATTTTCTCTGACAAAGGGGGGCACAGCCTTGCCGGTGGTGCAGTCGGTAAACCTCAGCCCTATCAAGCCTCTTGGTGTTTTTCTTGTACGTTGGTTGGTTGCTATTGTCATCGTTGTCAATCGGGGAACCAAGACAGAGAAAAGAGGCCGCCAAGCAGTTGGGTTTGCAACACTTTCTCAACTTGACAACTCCGGACACTAAATGCACAATAGTAGAATGCAATGACTGAAAAGGGGAATCTTTATGCGCATGTTTTGTCACTGTCATGAGCGATGGGTGGATTGCCTTTGAGATGACGTGAGGCTAGCTCCAAAGCAGAATCCAACGGTTGACGGGTTCAAAAGGACGTTACGGACGCTCCGGAAGGACATTTACTGTTTACGGTAAGTTGCTTCATAAGCTGCTCCTCATGGAATGTCATTCAGGCTTCTAGAAGGCTTCCTGACCCACGGACATGCTTACATACATGCGAGTGCACGAGTAAGTACAGTCTGGCCGTGTCAAACTCCATGCGCGCGGGAAGGGATGAAGGAGGGGGCGTCTCCGTTTGCCACCTTGTCAGCAACAACGTGGTCGGATCCTATCGTTCCGTCATTGTTTCCTAATCTGGCCACCGTCAAGGCAATGCCGGGGGATGAATGGTGACGAGCTTATAGACTACTTTGGTAGTCGAGTTGTTGTTTGGTAATATAGCCCAAGATAGTCTTTCTCTCTGAGTGGTAGGCCAGGGGGGTGAAATGACAAAGCATCAGCTCGGATAATCGTCTTGTTCAACGGAAGTTGCCGACTCCATTCCCCCGGGCTTACAATCTCTCGAGGAGAGATTCGAAATACCAGCAGCATGTTCAAAGCCAGGGGCTGGAGGAAGAATGGTCCCCCAATCATAGGCTATCCGTCTCGCAAGGTGAACGGAACGGGGCCCAGTCTCGTTCGGACCGCAAAGAGAAGTGACAGTAAGCGAAAGTTGACAGCTAGGTTCCACAGCTGCTCCCGGCATTCACGGCAGTGGATGTCGGGAGTTGGAGGCTTCGGCCTCCTAACGTCTCAACTCGAAGGGGGAGTGACATGCCGGCTTCATATCGCAATCACCAGCACAAGAACAAAGCTGGGTGACAAACACCATAAGCTGAGCATAGCAAACGCTGGAAATACAAACGGAAAAAGAGACAACACATTGCTCCATTTCCGTCTAATAACGGGCGTTTTCCCCTTTGATGGTCACGGTGACAGCAGCATCAGCCGATAGTACGGGACAACTCACGGAAGCCCACCCCCCCAGGTCCTAAATTAATAATGACATGGAACTTGACAAGCTCCACGGCACCGCTGACCTAAACTTGCCCGGAAGAGTAAACGCAGGAGAAGAGAGTCTGTAGCCACCTATCCCCATATTGTACTCGTAACTTGACTAATTAGCGGGATCTTCCAGGAAAAGAAGCCACGAGGCAAAGAAAGGGGGAGAGGGTGTGAGGGTGAAGGGTGAAGAGTGAAGTGAGGGTGGGTTGACACGGCACAGAAAGGACAAAAAACGTGGCGGCAAAGCCGTCATCGAGCCCAAAAGTCAATGAGATGACGAGCCGGTCATTACTGTAAGGCTGCAAACGTGGTAAATAGGGTCCGCGAGTTGGGGAAGCCAAGAAAGCTTCCTGTCGCTCTTGCCGTTAGGCTCGTTGCATTCCGCGTATAACTGAGGTTGGCGTTCTCGCTCTCGCTTTCATGCTTACTGGTCTCTGGAGGAGGAGGCCCGTGACCTTTCGTCTGTAAGTCGGTTGAGTGTATTCGTCCGCAAAAGGACCGTATCCCATACACTAAGGAGACGGAATAACGGCATCGTCAACGAGGACGAAGACCAAGTGAAACTCAAAAAGACACGTAATTGTTGTTGATGTTGTTTGAGAGTGACAGACTGGGCATGATCGTCTCAGCATATGATTCGAATGCGAGTTCCGAAAGCAGCATCGGATACAAGGCGTGGGAACACATCCATCCGGCAAGTCAAAGTAACAGTACCCAAGCTACCTCTTTTCCGGGCTAGAGATCCAGCAAACTGGCACGGGCGTCGCATTGTCTCCTGCCTTTCTGGAAGTAGCGGCATGGAGAACGGGGATGCGTGATTCGATAGTGTCGTTGAACGCTCAAGGATCAGATCTAGCAAAATCTCCTCAAGTGCCGGTGAAGAAAAACGCTTAACAAATCAGTGATAAGCGTTTCCTTAAAGACAACACAAACGGCTACAACCTTCGTTGGAGGTCTCCATCAAACAGACTACTGCCTGGCAATTGCTTCAACGAGTCATCGTCCCAATTTCGTTTCGACGACTCACCCCCACTGGGGGCCCAAGCTGACGGGCGTAGGTTAAAGAGCCCTGCATACCGTTATTCCGCGAGAACCTGCATAACGGTTAGGCCCTGAAGGGACGGGTGTGGTTTTTTTTTTTTCTGTTGTGCCTTTATTTTTCTTGTTGCTCCTGATGTGCGTGTGCGTGTGTGCGTTTTGCTGGCAATGTCATTCGATAGATGCTGTAGTGCTTACTTTAGCCCACGACGTGCAGGCGTAAAAGTTCTAGCCCTCATCTCTGCCCACGGGGGAAAAAAGCAGATGATGCAGAGAAACAAGGCAAGCGTCGACCCAAAACAGATTTCTGCCTCCCCAAATCTCGATGATGACTGTCCCTTTCTTGCCTCTAAATCTTGTCAGGGTCCCCCCCTCCGATGACCCCGAGCGACGCCGGATCTGTGTCGTGCCATGCAGCACCGACTTTGGCTCCCGCTCAGGGCCCGGCACCTCCGGCAGGGCTCCGGGCTCGTCACACTGCTCGAGCGGACATGGTTTTGCTTCCTGCTCGAGGCTTTTTTAGCTTCCAGAAGGATCAGGAGACTGGTATCGTGCCGTGCTGGTCATAAGCAGAGCAACACACACGCCCAGGAGGGGATTTCGTTGCTGCCTAGCGAGGGAGCAAGTCGGACCCGTTTCTGATGAATTACGGTGTCGGTGTAGGGCACACGCAAAAGGTTTGACCCGGCAGTCTGCGTATGAGTGTGTGATGTGACTTTTTGTGCCTGCGCAAACCTTGAAACGGCGTGGTTTGTACTTCCCGCAGATATCAACACGCCACGGCGACTCGAGTAATCTCACTAAGGAGAGGCCATCTTGAGTCGTTCCAGGTACGAAAGTACGCGGCCCGATGTGGATTGAGTTTCCCCCCAACCAAAAGACTCATTACCGTACATGATATTATCTCCAAAGCAGGGCCCGCTTAGACGGTGGTTGACGCCCGTTTGACGGTTTGACTGAGAACAAAAGTGGCAAGAAGCAATTGCCAAGTATGATCAAGCTGATTAATTAAACTGACAGCGCATGAGTCGATATGAGGTTTACGCCCGTTGTCTTGAATTATGGTACGACGACGAGTTTCGGAGCTGCGGAGTGCGGACTTTGTACAGGTAAAATGAAAGTCCAGAATCCGTGCTTTGCAATCATTGCTTGGAGCCTTGTGCTACTCGAAAATTAGCCTCGTGTACTCGTTTGGGTGTCTTTTTCTGTCTAGCCTCTCCAATCAGCATCGGTCATGCTTTGCGTTGGACGATCCTATTTTGCCGGTGGGATTCATGCAGCAGGTCAGGCCCAACTCACATGTCGCAACAAACATGAGGGAAACACACACACATCCCATGGGCCTTCCCCCCTCTTCCTTGTTCTCCTCATTCCGATGGCTTCGCCGAGCGAATACCCGCCCTCTGGATATACGGCATCTTGTAATGATTTAGAAAGAAAAAGGGGGGTGAAGAAGAGAGACAGACAGAGACAAAGTAAAGAAGCAATTGTCCGCTACAACTCCGATGCCTGTAGTGAGCGTCTGGTTAATTCCCACTTCTGGTGACGAACACGACGGTCTTTGGCTGCGAGAGCCGCTCGTGGTTGTAATACTTTGTCTAGCACGGCAACAAATTGCCAGAAGCCCTGCAGTCGGCGACTCAACACCAAGCTCTGTCTGAGGGGCGTTTGTTGATGAAGATGGTTTGGATCCTGATGACCACTGGCCGGGAGCGATGACAGACGGAAACGCACAAACGAGGCATAGAGAAGCCCTGCATTTACTGCATTTACCCCTCAAAATGCCTCAATGTGTCACCAAGCACAGGTACAAGCACAAGCACACAAGCGAATCCTGCATGTTTCGGTAAGTTGACCTGTAGATTGTACTGTATGATCATGGGAAAGCTCGCACACGCGCAGAAGAGGGGATTGCCCGGAAAAGGAAAATATCTGGAAGCCTTCTGGAAGCCTTCGACAGATGAAAGGGGTGTGGCAGACGCTGCGGGTCTGCGGGGTCGTCAGCTAAGCCCACCAATTGGAGCAGCAGGAAGCGCTGGTTTGTATCGCGCCTCGGGTTTGTTTGGTGTTTATTGCTTGGTAGTCGAATGCAGGCGCCATGTCCGGTCATGTCCTGCACAGCTTCTCGCCTCGGGGATATTGCGCGATGCTACGGTACTCGCGCCTAGAAGCACTCATAATGGCACCAACGTTTAGCATCGTCATGCCGGCGGCAGGAACTCGGTGGCTCGCAGGCCGAGCGTCTGTTTGTGTCAAGTTTCCGCGAGCCTTAGCCCGCCATGTACATAGCCTAGGCGCGAAACGTCAAGGGTTGTCAAGGGTTTTTGTCCCTCTTTACTGTATTTTGTCTTTGGGGATCAAGCAGCAGCTAGTTGAAGCCCGTCCAATCGTCCCCATGACTCGAGCCATCTCGCATTTCCACTTTTTGCGATGCCTGCATTATCTCGCACTTTTGTTGCTGCCCTGGACCTGGGTTAGACAAGGCAAGACAAGGCAAGACAAGGCAAGACAAGGCAAGACAAGGCAAGACAAGGCAAGACAAGGCAAAGTCAAAGGCAGCCAGGACAAGGCCCGGCAAGACAGAAGCCGTTCGAGACTTGGTGACAAACCTGGACATTCATTGTTCGTCTTCGCAGCACCCCCCTTCCTCCCTTGCCCTACGAGGCTGTACAGTAGCACCTCGCAGTATACAGCCAAACAGCATCCTCTGGGCGAGACAAAGACGGGCGTCGCAGCGGGTCGAACTGTAACTGCGCTGCGCTCTGGATCAGCGGCCGAACCCAAAGCACCGACCCTATCGCCGCCTGACACCGGCCTTTAATTATCTACCGCCCGGCAAGCTTACAAGGCAGCAGCAGGTGTGTCCGCGCGGGTAGCTTACCATACTAACTTGTGCGGGAGGGAACCCAGCCCAGCAGCGGCCAAGGGGGCGTGCGAATAGTCAAAGCAGCGTTGATGAGCAGAGCAGAGAAGAGCAGCAGCGCTGTTACTCTGCAGCAGATGGCGAGACAGGGGCCATTCATTGGGCTGAAGGGGCGCCACTCTTATGCATGCGTGCTTGTACAGCCGCTTCTGGGTGTTGGCGGTTTGTGGTTGCTTGTGCTGCTGATTGTGCCTCGTTTGAGAAGGGAGATGCGACTGTATGTACTGTGCGGTACTGCCACGAGGGGATCTGCAAGGGATACAGTATGAATGCGTAAGGTGGTGATGGTGATGATGATGATGATGACGGTTGAATGAAGAAGTTCGAAACCGTACCCATTGTACTGGACGGTACATGGACTGAACATTCTGCATGTACACTCGAGCTTACCTAAGGCCAAGTAGCGCCATCAAAAATCCGTGGGAGGTACGGATATACAGCACAAGCACAGCGCCCTACAGCGCCCTACCAAGTACCTACACCAGGCAAGGCCAAGTACCTGGGAGTACCTGCACATGCGCTGCAGCGTAGCGCCGTTAGGCACATAGCTAGGCCTACAGTAGCGCTGTGGGAGTGCATTTTGCTGCTGCATTGCTGGTGCCGGAGCGCCGCAACTGCACAGTCCGGCTCTACAGTAGCGCCTGTTGTAGCACGTCCCGGTTCCTCCATAGCGGACGGGAAGGTGGCGGCACATGGCGCGCCCTGGCAGTGGGGCGGTGCGGCCTGCCCCGCTTCCTGGGCTCTTTTCTCTTTCAATTTCCTTTTTCTCTCTCTTGGGTAAGTTTTGTTAATAATTTGTTGATCATTTTTATTTTTATTTTGGTTTTGTTGATGACTGTGTACGGACTCAGTACGGAGTTAGGCTACTACCCACGAATACAGTAATGCGCTTTCTCTCATCCTTGTCTGCGCTTCACTTCCCATATCCGGATATCCAATCTTTGTACGAGTACTTACATTCCCGGAGCAGAAAAAGGGGCATCAATTACAGCCAAGCCAAACAATCAACTGTTGTGTGTCAAGTCTTGACCTCTTTCTTGTTTGCCCTATCTAACTAGTAAACACGTTCGGTCCATGTGCTATTGCCCCGGGCTGTTACTCTAGTCCAGCCAGGCTGAGGCTGCCCCAGTGACATGCCCAATGACGACAAGAGCATGACACATCCCTCGCAAATTGCTACCCTGTAGGAACACATGCTTTTTTGAGTTGCCCTGCCCTGATTTGCTTTGCTTTGCTTCCCAGATTTTCCTTTCAAAGGTTGCTTCGGCTTTGCACCGATATGCACCATTAGTTACTCACTGCCCTGCTTTGTTGGACCCGTTACTAATATCCACCAGCCCATCCATATGCGCCTTGCAAAACAAGGCTGTCCAACTGACGTCGGCCTCTACACAGTCCCCGAGAAATGGCAACACACCTCCCCATTCTCGTGCCGGCCTGGCTACAGTAGCGGCTCGTTGTGGGTGGTCCATCTACAAGTACATCCATACCTACTTCGTAAAGTTCCCGTCTCTCACACATGCAAAACAGCCCCGGGAGGTGGCAGTGCCCAGAGAAGAGAGATTACTACACACATCAGACAAGGCTAGTACTCGTACAGACTTGCTACCAACGGCAAAAGCAGATTACAGTACAACCCATTGCAAGGATGCCAGGATCAAAAAAGACAAAAAGGTAAATACAAACACGACCATTTCTCCGATGATGGTCTTATTTCTGGGGAATTCGGATTCCCGTCCTTTCCCACACACACAAGGTCCTTGCATCTCCGTTCCCGTTGATAAGCAGCACATCAGCCCAGCCAAACGGCACATGCTATATTGGGGCAATGCCAAGCAACCGGCCGCCCCCCAGACACACCCAAAAAAAGCATCGCTCTCCGGCAAAGCTACAGTAGTATTGACCCTTATTTTTTTCAAGATACTACTCTGTACAAACTACCTGATCCTGTATAGTAATTTTAATATCGAGAACCTGCTGAGTCGAGATGATGCCGATGCCGATGCCGATGACGATGACGAACCATGGCGGGCCACCTTCTTCTTCAGCCCAACTTACACTCAAAAGGACAACATTGAAGAGAGAGTGTACGCAACACAACAGCCATGCCCTTTTGTCGCCATCATACTTACACTACTCCGTTAACTAATACACTGCATTGCACTACTTCCAAATGTGACGCCTTCTCAACAACATCCCGTAGCACACACCAAATTCCCATCATCGCCAAACGGCCATAAGCAACGTCAATCGCGTGCTCTGCATATGCATTTCGGGTAAGCTCCGACTTTAGCTCAAACCACCCCCAAACTCCGGAATGCCGCGTGTTTTTGTGAAGCGCGAAAGAGCGAGGCCGCGGGGGATGGGATGGGGGATGTATGAACGAAGATGATGATTGGGGAAAGGCGTGAGAGAAACAGAGACACAAAGAGAGCATGAAAGGGTGTGTGCAAGCAGCAAGCCAAAAAAAAGAATAGAGTAAAGGGAAAACGCCAGGCGAACCTGAAATCCCGGAGTCTCTGCGAATCAACAGCTCCCATTCGTAAAACTCACGAATCAGGTGTTGGAGATTCAGCCATCCCGATCTACGATGGCGCTACTCTTACATGGGCCCCATCTTTTGTTATTTCCCTCCAACGGCTTTTCAATTTTTTCTCACGCTCTCTGTGTCTCTCTCTGTTAAGTTTGCTCTTTTGGCTTCATACTTGCTGAGCTATCGTCATCCGCCCCTTGTCCGCACACACCCCCCTTCGACGTTCCGCCTTGTCCCCTTTCGCAAACCTTGTCTTGTGAAGAATAGCGCGCCGTCTCTTTTTTCTTTCCTTTCTTGCTTTCCCTTTTTCAAACTTATAAGACGAAATGGAACGGGGGAAAACGACAAATAATAAAATCAAGCGAGCGGCTTTTTAAACCCCGTCCCCAAACGAGGCTTGTCCCCTCCCACCACCCCCAGCCAAGCCTCCCTCATGTTATACACCAACAATGACAGGCTCCAAGCACAAGGGGAGGGGTGTCTCGTACGAAAAACACGGCGGCACTAAGCAGTTCAATATTTCCTTTTTCTCACCAAAAAGACAAAAAAACAAGGCCACGCCCCCCCTCATCCCTCTCCCACATCCCACCAAAAACCGACCGTCCGACCATCTGGCCGTGTCCAGTCCTCAGCCGCAGGGCAACATCCATTAGGTATTAGGTATAAGGTTGAAAGAGAGAGAAAAAAAAAAGGGCCCACGCAATGACCCCATGTTGATGATAAGGCTGGCCATGGCACCACCAAGCCTCGTACTATAAGTAATCAGAAGCCAGCAGCCCTACCAACCACAGACCCCCATCTAACTAGCTTGCCTGGCCCTGCCCCTTCTCCGTACTTTGCCTTGCCCTATCTAGCTTACGTGTACGCTGCACGGATGCGTGATTCGCTTCTTTGCATGCAAGTTGCTTCGTACAAGGCGGAAAGAAACCGGAGCAGTACGTACCCCCTTAGCTCGGGGCAAAGCTCCCCAGCAGCATCATATTAGCACCAATGCTAGTAACTATTCCGAGCAAAGAGCCAAAGCAAATCAAATAAAAAACAAGGCTCGTTGCCACTCGTAAACTCGTACGGGAAACCGATGTAACGCCCGGCCAAGAAAAGACAGACCTGCGGGGTGTGAGACGAGGCGAAGGCGCCTTCATTTTCCTTCTGGCGTGCAAAACCTAGTACCAAGAAAAGAAAAAAATAAACACCCCCGTTGTAGCACCCGTATTTGTCCTTGCTTATACGGAACGTGTTAGTGTCTTCGTTCTCTCTTATGTTTATTTTAATTTTTGCTTGGCCTTGCGAGTAGAGCAGTAATATCCGAGCTCCCGTTTTTAGACCAGCTCACCGTAATTAAAGACCCTTGGGGCAGATCTATATGGGGAGAAGACGTGGGCCAAGGAGAGCGATTACTCGTAATGGGGTAGTCCAAGTTCCTGGATGAGCGAATGCAACCTTGTCTAGGCCATATTCCTCTCGGCCGATCTCATTTATCGCATCGTATTGCTTGGTTATTGCGTGCCACACAAACAAAGCGCGAGTCTGTAAGCCAAGCATTATTAGTCAACAACGGTAAAAACATCAAGCCACAGCAGAAAAAACAATGTAAGCCCAGCCTTGTACTCGTAGCAGCTTCATTTCAGCCCCAGACGCCACGAACAAACCAGCAAATTGCCCCCCATCCCGTTGTAGTATTACTACTGTAGGCAATCGCCGCTCCCGCACTCCGTACACAATCGCTATTCTTCATCCCGTCCCCCGAGACTCCGGACTCCATAGTATTGGGTTGGCAAATAGGCCCGGCCAAGACACGTGCGGACGACGTGGGCATAAACTCTGTCCCGGTTCCCCCATCATAGTGGACCCGGAAATATAGGTGAGCAAATCGTCGCCACGCCTTATGGATCCCAGCGTATACGATGCAATACGGACCCGGGATGCATCTCGACTCCCATTCCCAAACGGCCGGTCCATGCGGTTGAGTCCCCTATCTTGCCTTGGCATTACCTTATACCGGATACACGTGCGTAGAAGGATCGGATAGGAATTATTTTAATTCCTTTGCCCGATGGCAGATGCGGAATTATAGCAAATCTCCCTTCCCCAACGTTGCCAAGCCGCATATCGAAATGCACTGAATCCTCATTACACCGTTTTTGGGCGTGACTTGAATCTCAGCCCACGAAATCATCTCAAACTCGTAAATCCCCTCAACCCAGCCGGAACCCCCATCTCTCGAGCAAGAAAGAGGGCGTGTTGCTTAGGATTATGGAGTTGCAAGAGGGGGCCAAGCAAGTAGCGCAAACTCCAATATCAGTTCAGATTCAAGTCCTTTTGTGGTTTTGCCTGACTTATACCCCTTAGTCATCCCTTGGTCAACGCTATGGAGCTTGCTGTAGGCGACTATACTATCGCTATGCCGTATCGACGATACTTGGGGGTGGGCTTTGTGAGGTTGACAACTCGTCCTTTTTTTTTTAACCATATCATAGCGCGCAGCGGTAGCCTCAGTGATCCTAGTCTCAGTCGAATTGCTCGTATACGAGTAAAAACTCCAAGACCAGAAGAGAATACAGAAAGGGGAGTGCAGCGGAAGGATTTTGCGAAAAGGCTATAGAGGAACCATACCTTACCCTTCACAGTCTGGCTTTGGTGTTGTTGTCCATGGCGAGTCATTCATCGTCTTACTGGTAATTTTTTGCTTCTTTGGGAATATGGTATCATACCATCCGGCTCTCGTACTTTAATGTATCTGCCTGCCTGGTGTTTTCTCGTCTATCAAAGCCGCCGCCGCATATTCATGCCTCCCCTATTAGGCATTTTTAGTAATAATCCCGCTGTAGGCGCCGCTCGGGCGGTTCTGCTCCGGCAATTTGGTTGGAGCCATCCGCCATCCCCACTAAGGCTCTAACTCAATTGCTTCCCGAGGGCCGCTCGGAGACAAACATAGCGAAGAAAGGGCGTGAATCATGCAAGACGATGGCATCCTTTTCTTCGATCTTCGGAGCAGAGGATATCTGCAGCGTGTAATACGGAGTAGGGCGAGCCGGCAGCCCCCCTTGCCGTGCCGCCGCCTCTTCTTGTCTTGACTCGACGCCGTTCCGTAGCCCCTAGAGCCATGGACTCGTGGTACTAAAGCCATACGGAATACTATTTGGAAGCATCGCAATTTTGCGCCCAACGTCCCCCCGTAACCGACCTGTTGGTTAATTGCCGCGGCTGCGGAATGAATGAATCGGTCTTGTCTTTCCTCCCCTCTCCCTGGCCGGCTTTCATCTCCTCGACGGAGACAGAGAAAACACATCCCATGCTCCGTACCGAGCATGATCCAGATCCATGTATACCCAATGGACGAGTCGAGCAGCAAGCGGTGACATCTAATGGCGGGGTCGGATGCTTCGAGTCCGGCTGACTGTACTCCCTACCAGCGAGGAATCCTTCCGATTGCGCTTCCATTTTCTGTAGTAAGCCAGCAGCGGTATGCTTGCAAGACAAGGCGGTAGGATCAACAGCACAGCTTGACAACAGCATTCCTCCGTTTCTCACGCCGTCTAGCACGTTCCTACTGCATGGCCAACGCAACAGTGAAGAAACTCCACACAAGTAAGCCTAGCCTGGGGACCCAGACAGCAGCCCTACATACGGAGCATACGTCAAGGCGCATACCCATACCCAATCCTGCGGTACATTCGCCTACCCTGCATCCTTTGGCGGAATGGGCATGGCGAACTTTTGCGCGGAGCTCGCATGTACTTGCATGTCCCAGCTGTTGGTTGGTCACCATCCGGCGAGTGCTGAATCCTAAGTTGAGGTGTTTTTTCTCTATCCCTCGTCGTCTTCCCATGTCCCATATTCGCTTGAATCATGAGCCTTGGTTGGGCCGCAGGGTGTGTGGCCAACATTGAAGTAAGCATTAAGCATACCGCAGAATAGAATCATAAACGACACGCCGCTTACAGTTCTCCCGTGCCCATCGCATCGTGATAGTATCTGGACCCAAGGGAAATCGCAAAAATTAACCAGCTTCCAGCAATTTGGAATTTCTTGGCCGCCAGATTTAGGTTTGCCCCTGGGGAAGTATACGCGATAGCCGGAATTGGCATGTTTGCGGGCTCTTTCATGTCTTGATAGCCTATTTCTCGTTCAACTGACTCGAGTAGCAGCTGCTTATCCGAGGCTTTGAGGTGAAGAGATCCACCTCCATATTCTAACCTCAACAACATCTCAACACGTGTTTCACCGCAATCTGTAAATATACTTGCCAGTACTTGTGTTACCGATTGAGGAACGGATTAGCATCTTGCAGAGACACTATGCCGCCTCACAAGACCAGCTCGGATATCATATCCACAGGAGCGCATCGTATTTACACGCCGGTGCAAGATGGCTTCCCCCACGTATAACGTAGCTCACCCTCACCCCTCACAACCCAAGGTGAGATATATCAGATAATGGTAGTGTAAGAATTTGTAAGACGAGGGCCCTTGGCGCTACGTCGACCACCGTTTACTCGAGCCAAACGCTGCTTGGCCCAGAGTACGAGCATCTCATCGCTCCGAGGCATAGGAGATAAACGGAGCTTCCAACTAACCTTCTAGTGTACCACCTTAAGTATAACACGCAATTCGTTCTGCCGCCGAGAGCCACAGTTGCCGCAGAGTATGCCGCATCCGTACAGCCATAGCCAGATCCTTCCACTTAGATCTCTCCAAAGGGAGGTGGGTGGACGGAAAGAATTTGGAAAGAGACTCTCAACCATCGGATAGGTGATGCCGAGTGGGAGTGAGAGGTGTTCGGCTTCCGTATCCCCACCTCCAGTTAATTTGTCCTCGTGTCTCTCAAATCCAGATGCGGCAGCCTGCATGCCCCCTTGCAGCGGGAATAAGACAAGACGAGAGGAAAATGAATCGGTGCTTAATTTCTGATTGGCCTGGGGGGATAATACCACCAGAAGAATGCCGTTGGACATCCCCCTCCATGGAAAGGGCTAGTATTGGTACTCGCAGTGCAAGCATCAGTTTACCTACGAAGCAATCTCCCCTGAAAGGGTTGTGCATGGGTTGGCTACCAGGTAGGTGGCTGTGGACGTGTATCGGCCGAACATTGAGGCATCGCGGCCGCTCCTCGGCCGAGCAGAGACCGCGCCAAAAGGGCGTGTATCGTGACCCATGTTGGAACAAAGCCGGAGTAGGCAGCAGTTATGCAACAGCGACACAGCACAACCTGGCACAACCTAGCACACTAATCCCATGCCCCTGGCCAGATGTTGGCTTCTGACCTCGAATAGATCCCAAGCCCGCCGTTAGTTGCCTTCTTGGATTCGAGAGGGCATGCTAGTACAAATACTGCACCCTTCCCCCCCTTCGATCTCACGGCTGTAAGAGACGCCCATCCCCTTACCGCAACGTTGGAGGTCGGCAATTCAGTCAGAAACAGAAAGAGAGACGTTCGAGGCGTATGTAGACAAATCCGGCTGTAAACGGTCAAGTTATTGCGAGTGCTAAGGCGGTCACTCTTCAGCTTCATGCTACAGGACCGCTTTTTCAGCCCTGTGACTGCTGGCCCTACAGACACACGCCCACATCCCAGGAGCCAGAGGAAGCCGAGACAAAACAGAGACGGAAAAGGACAATTGCTTGGGACCCGGCCGTTTTAGCGCTGGGAATGGACTCCCCTTCCGTGTCACTCTTAGCCAGTCACTCGGGCCTGTGATGCTGTCCCCTCACACCCCAAGGTCCACTTGGAGGAAGAAGGAATACCAAGTACTTGCTTGTACCAAGTCGAGTTAGAATGGTGACAGATACTGCCTAGTACAAGGACCAGCCGTACGTTCTCAGAGGGGCATGAGACCCAAAGCCTCCTGCAAAGCCCTACAGCAGGGCTGCTTTAACTCAATTGGGTGAGACGACGGGCTAAACCTCATATCGTATAAACGCAGATGTTGCCCCTCCATCCGACTGGGCTGTGGTTGGAGGGGCTGAGGTTAGGGAGCTGCGGCGAGTGACCTATCAGCAAGCTCCATCCTCATCTCGGTCCCGAGGCTTTCTCCTTCATCTCTCCTGTCCGACCATTTCGGCTCAGTGCCTCGTGCCTGTGGTGTGATTAGTGCCTAGGCCAGCTGAACTATCGTTTGGGTGGGATCAAACAGGCAAACCAAGGGAGGAGAAAGAGAGAGAGAGCGAGGCAGAGACAGACAATCAATCAAATGGGCAGCACAGGCCACCACATGACCAGCATCTCCTGCGCCAGACTCATCCTTCCAAAACGCCCAGCTGAACTCTTGGTCTCTTGTCTCTTCTTGTTTCCCGCCTGTCTTACTCACCCCCTTCTCGCCCACCCCTTTCCATTTGCTGATAGTTTAACGCCTTATACATGTTATTCCGTAGTGCGCGCGCATAGTCGGCCAATATTTTGCGTTAAATCTAAAGATTCAACCATCAACCTCAGCTCGGCTTTTGCTAATCAGCGCGAGGACGGCACCTCTGGGATAGTCCGCCAAGTTATTCCCTTTCTGGAATGCAACTCTTGCTGGTTTTGGCTCAGGTCCCCACACGCCACTCGCTGCCTGCTTATGCAATAGCCCAGGCGTACGTAGGCAAAGTAGGCTATCGGACAGCTGTGTCTCAGTTCTTCGATTGATGCGAGTCAAGCTCCAGGCTTCGTCGTGGCAAATCCGAACCGACATGTCATCATGATACCTCATCCCGCTGAAGCCATGGCACCCATCTCGGGATGATGGTAATTGCTTTGAGACGCCGGGCGGCCACTTCCTTGAAACCCATTAGTCTGCCACGTAAGAACCAAGCCACGCTTCTGAGCGTGCAGAATCGAATCCCCGCAAAGAAATTTCCCAGAATAGGACAATCTCCCGCGCGGGCACATGGCAATTAGATTTCCTTTAGTAAGCTCGAGATCGACAAAATATTGATGCAAAGTGCGTGTGAAAGCAATCCAGAAAACCTGTTGCAGAGAGCGGACATGGAGCCAAGGCTGCTGCTAGCACTCCGTAGATGCCTATCATTCGTAAGATACATGGCAATCTGACAAGTGACATTTAGCGAAATGGTCATCCCTGCGCCCGCGGCTGAACGCGTTTTCTGCTGGCAAAGGCATATCCTCAATGCGCACTTGTGGTTTTCCTAGTGGTACGATCATGGTATGATGGACAGAATGTGCAATCATAGCTGACCTGACTCTCCAAACGCTGTGTTGCGTGCCTCGCTGTGTCTCGACACTTGGCCCGCCCGCAGTAGGACCGACATAGACCAGCCCGTGGCCGACTCACAGGATCTTCAGGGGGGTTCATCTTGCATCGGAAGGGATAGAGCAGGCGATCTAGCGCTAGGATTCCGATTCTCTGCATTGCACACTCCGTACTCCGTATACTCGGACCAAGGTAAAAAGACACAGCCCGGCGTTGCATCTCGCCTAGGTGATTTGCGCCAACGTCCGCGCCTAGGCCGTGGTATATTCCGCATATATCTCTAACCAACCCAATATTAAGCGATCGGAGAAGAGGCACGCTTGAAGATGCACTCTCCGTCCCACCCCGCTTATTCCGGACCGCTTCAACCAAGAGGCATCCCCCTTGCCTTCCCTTCTGACACCCACCTGAAGCCCTAGTGACGGGACCAAGAAGAACATTGACCCCTTCTCCTTTGGGCAGCATTTTCGCGGCGCGAGCGATTTGTGGGGAACCCCGTAGTAGTCTAGTTCTCAGGCGAATCGTCAGACCGCCGTCTAGAATGCTTCTAGCGTTCTCTGCTAGACCAGATGCCGCCTAGACCATCTATCGAAATTTGCAAGATAACCGGGCCATGTTGTCATCTTCTTCCACTGTCGTTGTTTTCCGTCATGTCCTTCCTAACCTGGGCGTGCGTTTGGTTATCGTTTCCACTTGAAACGCGGGTCCCATCCGTAGATCTTTCGTGCCGTGTATGTCGTGTATAATTAGCAGCTTGCTATTACTCGTACATGCCACCTCGCCCGCGTGTAAGGAGAAAGAGCGCTCCCAGGTGCCATTCTTAAGCCCGAGGACGGTGGTGATGCGGCTGTGAAGAGGTTTTCCTGCTGACCTCATCACTAACACCGCCATCGGCTGCTCGCTCTCGACGGGAGAGGAGCCTTGTGTGCGGTTCGTAGCGCGTGGCATATCTGCAAGCCCCGAGGCAAATGCAGACCTACGTAACATTCATGTACTCCGCAGCTTCTGGCAACAATCTGCACCTTCAACCGCCATCTTGGTTCTTGGTACCAAATCCCAGGTGTTTCCGGATGAAAAAAGGGCTGGCGGCGCCGGCAGTTGACACGGCGTGCATCCGTGGCGACGGCTTGCAAATCGGTCGTCGGAGCTCGGGACCCTCTTTTACCAAGTTCGGTCCGTACATGCATACGAGCGTGCGAATAAGAAGCAGCCGTTGACATATAAACTGGAGCTCTGCGTCAAGCTGCCCCGGTTTTCCCCCTTCGGCTCCGTTTGGAGAGTAATTTGGTTCCTGAGTCTTGTGGACCCGGGCTACGGGGACCTCGAAGACATCCTGGTCGGCGACCTCTCAAACCCTCATGAGATTTCTCTTGTATACGTCGTTGCGCTCACATCTTCGGCTTCCTTGTGTAAGACACGCCGTGCCTCTCAAAAGCCCTTAGCCCGCCATCATGATTATCTTGCGGGCGTTGCTGGACCCCATCAGCAAGGCACTGACCAGGCGTGAATGCAAGAGGAGGCGTTTTGTCACATTCGTAGGCGCATACAGCAATGGCATTAGCCAACACCGACTCATTGTTGCTGATCCTTATTTTTAATTTTCTTTTCAACCACCATTGTGACGATAACACGTGCCACGCCCCTTGGCAGACTTACAGCCCTACGAACAAAGCTGTGACACAGGAGGCGCATGTACGTTTCTCATAGTGGAGAAGCGCAGATGATGGTTCGCGCCACATTCTGAGGGAGGCTCCAAGGGTTGTAAGAGAACCTAGCCGCTCCCTTGGGGCATCGTCGTTCCTTAATGACGGTATGCTGCATAATCGCCCGATGCTCCGGTTCGTCCGGACGTTTGGCCAGTTGAATGAGATTTTGCTGTCGAGTCCACCCTTCCAGGCTGCCCTCGCAAATAATATGATGCATCGCCTTTGCTCGACGAGTCCTGACTCAAGCCCTCTCCACATGCTTCCACTGCAAGGAAAATCTCCCGTCTCCCTTCGTCCGAAGACGTAAAATGTTGGGAGATGGGCGGTAAATCGCTGCGATGGGCATTGTAATTGGCGCCAGGCCACCTGGTTCTCTTGCGAATCCTTGCTAATTGGAGTTTATGCTTCAGCCTTGCGGACCACCCCTCTATCGGTGCCGGCTAGCCTTGTGACATCCACGCTAATCGTTCAATCTCCGCCAAGGCCCAACTGGACTGCAGGCTTCTGGAAGATCCGGCTAGAATCACAGTAAAGAGGGTCTCGTTTCCGCTCGTGTTTTATAAGCGCTTGTGTTGAGTAAACTCATTTGTGCTCGGAGACTTTCTAGATAGATTGATGATATGAGCTAGAGTAGGGCACTAGCCGGAAACCTCGGTCGACCAACTTGTATAACACGCCGCTTTGGAAAAGTGTTTCCACAGCGTGTTATACAGAGTAGAACATGGACCATTTCACATCCGCACAGGGCCTCCAGTATGTCGTAAAAATAGGTGGGGGATTGGCACGACTGTAAGATGTGCTCCGTACCGTAATATCGATCCCGAGTCGTTTACTTGACCGTGTTCTTGGTGGCGGCAGAGATAGTCCCCAGATGCCGAGGCTCATTCAATGCTTTGGACTGGTTGTGGGCATCCTTGGGATTTGCCCCTTGGTTTTTGGCATTAGCTGCAGCGACTCTTTCATCAATAATGCCCGTAAATGTGATATCGGACGGACGTAAACCCAGAGCACAACCGGATCTGACGACAATAAGGTGATGCAGCTCGCAATGCGCACAGGATAACCGGTAGATGCGCCTCTTGAGGCTTAGCTGCTGTATCGGCACCGCACCATTTTCTGTCCAACCACAGGGTGCAAACTGCTGTGGCTAGCTTGGGATGCCAGGGTGTGCGTTGCGATTGAATCCGCCTCTCGAAGCTTCATACCATTCACAAGGCGCAGCTGAGTGGGCCGCGGCCGCGGTAGAGAGGCCAAGCTGCGTTGTGCAATTACGAGTACAAGAAACGGAACAATCCGTTTCCCCCTTTTTCCTTTTTTTTTTCTCAATGTCGCTGCCCCGACTCATGCGCAACGATGGAGCGATGCGCCGGCCGATAATTCAGGCCGCTAGGCTGATCTTGCTAGCGGCGAGGGATGGTAGCTGGAGAAAAGAAATAGATGCAGGGCGTAGCTTGTGTTTTGACGACTCCAAAGACGGGCTTCAATGGGTTACGCCCTGACACACCCCTCCTCTTCCTTCTTCTTTCATGCCGGCCGAGAGAGTCATGGACGGTGACTTCATTTCGCTTTCAGGAGCCACGACACCTGGCTTGGATGCCAAATGTAGAAAATACACCCGCTGCTTGTCAAGCCTTCTTTTGGCGGGGAAGCGGCGTGCTTGACCAAGCTCGGCCCACCTTTTACCCTTTTGTTGACGAATATGGCGATTAAAAGCGATGGTGGTTAAACGCGGAATTTGGAGCATAGCCCTGCTCGTTCTCCATAAGGCTGAGAGCCGAATAGCCTACCATTTGTGTCGTGTCGTAAGGCAATGTTATGCTAATAAACCCAGGATGCCCGGAAATCACCAGCATCAGCTAACTATGTACTAGTATTGGTACATTGATAGGTCGAGGGGCGACCCAAAGCGCATGCGCGTTGGCGACCCATCTCATCCATGGCGTAAGACGTATGAATAACCGTATTTGCTGTTTGTCTGTTCGCCTCGCGCAGATCTTGTAGCCTTGCTGTGGACGATTGGCTGTGGGAGTCAGTTGCTCTTCACTCTATTCCGCCCTGCGGCGCCCTTTGGTCAAGAAGCTGTGCCGCCTTGCGGAAGGCCTGCGGAATGGTATCAATTGCCGACATCATGTACCGCAAAAGCTGAAAGGGTTAGTGCCTCTTGTGAGTGTGAACTAGTGGGTGCTCAAACTTCCCGGTCAGCATCTTGAATTACCCTTGCTGAGACAATCGTGGTTGTCGACTTGGTGCGGTCCATACAGTACTGACACGGAAATGTGGTCTGGCTCCGAAAAACGCCCTGCTCTGAAAGACCGACACACCTTACCTGAAGAGGCCATCGTTTACTGGTAGAAAAGGGATTGCACAAGCGTTCGTTTAGAACCTTGAGGCCTGGATGGTTCAACCCAGGAGAGCAGAATTGATGAGACTCTGCAGCTTTGCCGAAATCTGTCTCATGAAATGGCCAGAAAAGGCGATTTCGCCATTGTCATCACGTGACAAAACCTGTCACTCCCGTACCGGCACGACGCCAAGAGCACATCTCCGCTGGCACATGCTAGCCAGGCCTCGCGTTAATTACCTGTTTCACGGCGAGGACAGTCGAAGCCGAACCAGCGTAGGGAGTTGATTGTGGTTTGCAGCCTCAACAGTTCCCGTCTCCTGGCTTGGGGCTGAGAAAGGCGCTGACGACACGGGTTTACAGGTGGCACTGATGCCCACATCCAGATCTCTTTGCACCAGTGACGGCTTGCCTCGCAATACATATTACTCGGATTGCGGGGCAGTATCCATAGCTAGTTGCATATCAAATCTCATCTTGAGCAAACTCCAAGTCCATGTACTCGTAGTCCGCGCAGCTGGGTCCTTGCAAAAGAGGGGGGCGTACGGGGGGTTTAGGCGGTGTCATGGCTCAAGAAACCTCGAGTTGGGCGATGTCAAGGCTGATCGAGCTAAGCAAGGAGTCTCCCGTCGTCGTCTTTCGCAGTAAAACTTGCTGTTCGTGGGTCGGCTCCGGCGACGTGAAAGGGCGGCCGAAATCCACAAGCTGATCAGCCAAATGTCCTTGGATGGGCCTAGTGGCTTGCTGGGGCACGTACCGGAGCACAAGAGCTAAAAATTTCTCCAGGGAACTGCTGGCCTCTGTGCGGAAGCACGGAGCGCCGCTTGTGACTCGTTGCATGGGAACGGCATACTATGCTAAGTCAGCACGGCGAGCTGAGCTCTGAGCTAGTCTTAGGGCGATTCAGCCCTCCCAGGAGCAGAAGCTCGTGCGTGGGCGGACCGGTAGGGCGCAGAGTCCATGGAGGACGCGGAATTATTGCGTGAATCCTGTTGCAGGCACAATTAGTTAGGCCTCATGGCTCCGCCCAGCTGAAGTTAAGCGGCGTTGACAGGTTGAAACCCCATGCTGCGAGGCAGTATTAGGTGACATACCGCGGAATCTTGACACGTCTTGCAAGCCACAATCCAAGAACCTTGGTCATCTGTCCACGGAGATTGCAGTCGGGTCTGAGAGGCTGAAGCGACTTGTTGGTGATGCAAAGGCGAAGTTGGGGGTTAGCAGCGATTCTGACGCAGCAGCACGCACTAGCCCAGAGCCGACATGCCGGAGACGCTGCGTGTGAGTATGAGCTACCCGAGACCTGATTCAACCCAAGGCATTTTCTGGTTGGGCAGGATTGTGATGAAAGACGAAGAAATGCTGGTGACGTTTACTGGACGTTGGTGAGGCTGGGCTGATTGACTGGTTGGTGGTACTTTTGAATAAAAGGCGGTGTTGAGCGGTATTATTTGGCTGTGGCCGCTCTTTCCCACCCAACTTACCGGAGTTGTGGTACCATCTCGTCGTTGGTGCCGACAGTGGGATTCGCCCAATCTAGGTAGCTAGTACTTGGACTTGACCAAGATTGCCTGAGACAACAGCACTAGACCGCCCACTAGCCCGCGGTACCCAGTACCGGGGCCGCAATCTGGGAGCTGGTGACTGGTAACGAGCATCTCGTACCAACAGATATCCGTACAGTAAACCGCTGTCATGCGGCGTCTTCAACAAGCCGAACCCTGTCTCTCTTGCGCTCCAACGGCGATTCCAAATCTCCAGCCATTAGGATGAGCTGAGCTGAGCCTCGAGCATAGCGAACCATCTTCCACAAATCAGCAGACTGCCTGGTTCGCCGAGGCCATCCCATCGCTAACGTAAGAGCTGGCCACGATGCTGGCCTGGTCAGGACGACTAATTACGAATGCTTCTCCAAGGACACGCCTGAAACATCATCCACTGGTATTTCTCATCAGACCGTTGTCTTGGCAGTCCGTCCAGTGCTAAGGCGCCAAACTTAGGTCAATGTTATGACTGCGAAACTTGATCTCACGGCCTTGACCAGAGGCATGGTCATTATACAACAAGGAAGCGCGAGGCATCCGCATGGCGCCGTTGCCACCACCTGAGCGCAGGGCTGCCATAGCAGAGCCCTACACCCCTCCCCTCTCCTTGGATGGAGCTGGCTACTTCTCTCTTGTCCTGCTAGTCGGAGGAATATCGTCTCCTGCGGCTCGGCTCTGGAAGTGCTGCCATACAATACGGAAACATAGCTACGACGTGCTGGAACAGACTTCGTATACCGCAGGTCGAACGACCCCGGTCTTGTTGCTTTCCCTTTTTTGCCGTTTCTATCGCCAGGGGCCCGGATTCTGCATTCATGGAGCAGTAATGGCAGCCATTACTGAAAGGGATAGGAGAGACTGGGGAGAGTGAATGCAAGTACGAGCATAATACAGTAGGGATGGAAGACGAGTGGAGCGCCAGAGGGACAAGATGGAGATGGAACAGGCCGCCATGTCCAGCGTCCGGCATCATCAGTCAGTTCTCCAAGCAGCACTCATTCCCAGCAACAGGACCGCGCTGCTCACCACAACCTGAGATGGATGTTGCCTGGCTACCTTAATTGCTTAGCGCCGACTTGGACTGGACAGCAGCCACGCCTCACCGAAGCCAGACGCCCCCTCATCCCCTTGTCCCTCGTCCAGCCCTGGGACAGACAGCCCAGCCTAAGAAAGAGGCGCTCCACTGGTGGGATCAATGGCCCTACATACATGCACACCACCGTGCTTAACCCTACCGGTCCCTGCCTGCATCATCCACGCCCCCTCCTGGCCACTGGGGTGTCGTCCTCGCTCTCACTCATCTCCAGACAGCGTCAGTGCTGGCCCTACAGCCCAGCCATGGACACACCCCTCCTCCCCAGGCCAAAGGACCATAAGGCACTAAGACAGGGCTGCCCACGCGCATCCCGTCCTGCTACTTGGCTTGTACGACGGTGCTAGAGCAGCCGCACCCGAGCACCGTTGGCTCTCGAGTCTTGCTTGTACCTGTATGTACACCCGGGGAGGGGCTTGCAGTCCAACGCACCTCTCAAGTCAACCGATCCTCTGGGAACGCTCTTCGCTCGGCTTCTACTTCTGCTTCTACTACTAGCACTTCTGCATCGTCTCTTGGCCCCTGTTGCTGGTACGCTTGCAAAGTCCTCAAGGGAACGGAAGCATGGATACGCCCCTCCCCCTCCCTTCGATTACTCCGCTCTGCTCTAATAAGGCTGGTGCTTCTCGCGCCTTCAGCGGCCTTTGCTTGGTATCAAAAGGGAACATGTCAACGGCAGCTACAGCGTGAGTGGCATCGACGGCTGGTTGCCTTGTCGGTGTGCCTTTGCCTTGCCATCGGCCTCGTTGACTCAACCCCGGCACTGGGGAAAGAAACAAGATAGGGAGGCGAGAGAGGACGAGGAAAAAAGATAGGCTACTTTTGGACACAAGAAACAAACATGGCTCCTCCAACGCACGGCACCCCTTGTCCAACCACGTCCCTGGTTCTCCTCTAGCCAAACGACCACCCGCGCACTAACAGGATTGGCACTTGTTGGAGGCCATCTCAATGCTGGTCGCCTATCTATCTGCACGCCCCATGACCATGCTCTCGTCTTCCTACTCCCACGCCCTGCTCACTGTCTTGTCTCTCTGGCTGGGCCGAGCAGAGAGCGCAGCGGAGACCAAGCTTGATATTTCTCTTTTGGTCTCCCGCCTCTCGCCCCTACATTAAAAGTCGTCCTAACCTCCCACTTGTTATAATTCGAGGGCATCCCATGTCTTTGGTCCCCTCAACTTGCCTCTAGTGGCTTCGTGTATCATTCTTCCAATCCTCGTTCTCCAATCCTATTCGCCTTTACACGTTTGCCTCTTTGTCTGTTCCTGTTTTTGTTCAGCTACCATCCCCAGACCACACCCAGGCACGCACTGCCTCGGAGCATCTTTGCGGCCCATAGAGCTGGACCTGGAAGACGCAAAAAAATTCCGAATCCATTGCCACTTACGCATTTCTTCCCTGCTTCGCCGACGCGACACGTACGACGGACCCCGTTGCCGCAGCTGAAGCAGTATATTTGCCATTTCACTGGCGCATTGACTTCCCGTCAGCTACAATTCGTTTCCATGACTCGAATGGGCGTGTAACGGCAAACACCTTTTGCTCACATATTCCACTCCAAAGGCCCACCTCGGCCTTTGCTTTCTCTTCTCGACATCTCTTCCCGAACTTCAAAAGCCTATAACTCCCACCTCACATCACAACAATGGCCTTTCCTCCGCACTATAGAGAGGTCCCTGCTCCTCTCCCAAGCATCGTCGTGCCTGGAAACGGAGCCAATCGATTCAGAGACCAAGGCATTCCCTTCTCAAGAAGTCCGGCAATGGCCATTCCTGGTATCGAAACGCGGGACGACGTGCCTCCTCCTCTACCTCCGCCACGAAACCTCCCCTTTGGCGACGCACCTACCCAGTTTCGGGACGACTTCAAGGACAAGAGAGACTACTCTCGTGGCTCTTCCTTTGCCAGTCGCTCGTCCTTTGCCAGTGGCTACGGCAGCATGAGTCCCTGTCATATGGATGATCGATCTGGATACAAGAGAAGGGAGGCTGGAAGCATTACTAGCGATGAGGGCTATGCGAGCTATGCTTCCACAGAGAGGTGGGAACAGATTGCCTGCGCAAACCTCGCAGAGTAACAAAAGAAAGTAAAATAAAACTAACATGTTGCATATGGCAGGTCCCGCGATTCCCTCTCCAACAACGAACCCTTCTGGCTTCACCATAACCAATTTCACTACCAATCAGCAGCCGACCTTCACGGCGACAGCGCGAAGAAGATGCTGACTCCTATCCGGACGGTGGTGGACAGATCGCCCCCCCGTTCGCTTCTCAGCGGTCCCATCAGCGATCTTTCACGAGGACTGCAGAACGACCGGTTTGCTCCTAGCTTACCCAACCTACCCATCCAACTCCCCATCCACAGCCGCGCACCCTTTGAATCGCAACCCCGAGACTCACCAACCTTTTCCGCCGTCTCCCCCAACTCAACGCCCTTCCACCGATCCCCAATTGACCACCGCTCTCCCTATGACAGCTCAGAACCAGATCGTTCACCCCGAGGCAGGTCAAGACGGAACAACAGCGATGATGCCACTTCCACCCAGGGCAGCTTTGTTGACGATATGGAGATTGACGAGACATCCTCTCTCAAGAGACTTCACATTGAAGATGGATACGCAGGCGCAGGTCAGAAGCGCCGGGCCGCCAGCCCTGCATCGGACGACCTCGGCTTACACATGATGTCTGGCCAAGGTGCATCCCGCGGTTCTCCTACTCCTCGCCTGTCATCGGGCCCTCAATCCGCGACATCAATGCTGAGCAGCGCCTCTTCGCGACCCGGCTTCTTCATGTCTTCCATCTCTATCCCGCCTTCTGCTAGCTCATATGGCCACCGCTCACCCGGTGGGGTCTCACCAGGGGCCCTCTCTCCCACATCATGCACCTCTCCATACAACACGCCCGCATCCCTCAACCCAAGCCCCAAGACGTCAGTTGCCAGCAGAGCACCTATGCATTCACGAACCGCGTCTGGCGCCAGCCCACGGAAGCTCCCTGATATGCAAAAGCCCAACAGCACCAAGTTCCAAGGATTCTACATGTGCGAGTGCTGTCCCAAGAAGCCCAAGAAGTTTGAGACAGCCGAGGAGCTGAGGTACGTAAACAATGCGCTAAGTTTTCTTTTTTTCTATGCCCCACCATTTATTTTTGGGCCGGATTTCCTTTTAGAAGCTGTCTTGCTTGTTATATCATTCCAGCGCGCTGACTCAACCTCCTTAGTGCTCACGAAGCCGAAAAGCAGTATGAGTGCAGCTTCTGCGGCAACCGCTTCAAGAACAAGAATGAGGCCGAGCGACACCAGAACTCTCTTCATGTACGCCGTCATTCATGGTCATGCTCCGCGCTGTCGGGCTACAATCGGGCGTTTCACGAATCGACAACGCATCCCGGCGAGGCCGATGCGTGTGGTTACTGTGGGGAGGAGTTCCCTCGATCGGGACTTGGAGCGAGGGCCGGCTTACTCAACGGTGGTATCCAGGCAAGACACGCTACTGACCAGGACTGGGAGGAGCGGATCCGACACCTTCAAGAGGTGCACAAGTTCCGGGAGTGCAACTCGTCCAAGAAGTTCTACAGGGCCGACCACTTCCGCCAGCATCTCAAGCACAGTCACGCAGGCACTAGCGGCAAGTGGACAAACATGTTGGAGAATGCCTGTTTGATGGAGGAGGACCCTTCGCCGAGGTGAAGAAAAAAAAAAAAAAAAAATCTGGCTCTCGACGGCTGCATTCGAAGCACTGCAAGGATCGGCCGCGCGCAGCAGCTCTCATGACGATTTACTTAACGAATTGTTTATACATAAAAGCTCTTCTCGTTTCTTTGAGAAGACGGCATAGCCTCACATTTTTTTCCCCCGTTATTATTTTGTTAAACAAAAGGAATACCCGCTCCGGAAGGCGATATAGTGGAGCTCTGCATTTGCATTTGACAGTCAAAATAAATATTTTTCGCGTTGGCCGAGGCCTTTTTTTTTCTCTCTTCCGTTTCCTTTCTTTGATAACGAACGACTTTACGACAATCAGTTGATTCATATAATTGGGCGCTTGGGTGTCAAACCAGGGAAAAAGAAAAACTACGAAAAAAAAAATTGAGCTCTCAAACATGTTGGCTCAGCATTGGGAGGGAACCATGTGTGATTTCGCAAGTAAAATAAAGCCAGGGTACATGATGATGGCTGGATACGATGTCGCCACTCTTGGGCACATGGCCTCAGCCCACCGATGGAGGTAGGGTGATTCCAAAACACGAATGCCAAAATTCGCAGGGTGTTTTTGTGTGCCCTTGGAAAGTAATATGGCGAAGATGCATTGGTGCCAGCCTAACAACGGTCTGAAGGAGAGGAGGTCGAGCCGAAGATGCCATTGGACATTTGCAAAACAGGTCAGGCTGACAAAACCACGGCACGCAGCTGGGCTTGCAGAGAATCCCAGGTAGAGCATCCTCCCCCCGGCTGATTCCACGACGAGTAAGACGTGCGCATGCTTCTGTTGCGCCTGTGCCGCCGAATTTGGCGAAGAGAGGCAGCTCCCCATGTCAGCCGCTAAGACGGGCCTCACACAGGATTCAGGATCTCTTTTTTCCCCGTCTCTTCATCGCAGGGCTGCCTCTCTTCTTTGCTGCTACGATTACGGAGCACTACTACTGTCCAATTGCAGGCTAGCTGAATCTTCGGAAGAGCTCCCAGGCAACCCGCGTTTACCAGGGCTCGGGGCGGACGTTGATTCTCCCCTCTGCCGAAAGTCTAGATGAGCCTGGGTTTGCGTCTCAATTGCCGTTTTTTTGCTGTGGGACTCGATATGCCCTACCGGCCCTGGAGCGAATTGCAACTACGAGTACAAAAGGCGACTCACCTGTTGCGAGAGAAGGAATGTTGACGCAATCGACGTTGGCCGGCGCCTGGGAACAAATGGAAAAAGGAAATCCGTAGACGCGCAGATTTCCGCAGAGCTGCAGAGGAACTAAGCAAAGCCAGCCCATGGCCGTGGGAGCCCGTCGCAAACCACTCCCGAGCGAAATTTCACACTAGATTGGGCTGTACGCAAGTGGCTGACGATGAACGGGCTCTGGTTGGGCTGAGGCATGAGACCCCGGTCCCAGATACATGGCACGGGCTGGCCCCAAGCCCTACCCTCCTCGGCCTAGGTGGAGGGGGACAGCAGATGCTCAGCCAGCCGTCGTGTGACGGAGCCCAGCGAACGAGACATGGGATGCCCATTGGCAAAGATCAGACCGGAACAGCTGACATACAGATTGCCCTCTGGGACGGGCTTGGTAGGCATGGGAAGCCGCCTGAAAGTGGTGCCACACATGTGCGAGCGAGTGAACAGCCAAAAAAGACGTTTCATTCCTTGCCTCGCCGTGTATGGGTTTCTTTTTTCTTCTTTTTGCTACAGTACAGCCTTGATGCCATGGGCGTGTATGACAAAGGATGACGAGGTTTCATCAATAGCTTTTACGGACCTTTTCGGCCCCAGACGATCCGGCTGCGAATTGGAGGGAGGGGGTGGAAAGGCACCGGGGTTTGGGAGGAGGATCCGGCCGGCGAAAGAGGGAAGACGAGGACGCAGACAAATGCCGAAAAGGGGTGGAGGCTAAATGAAGTAGAAAAAGTGATTTAAAGACACTCAAAAAAAAAGTCTTGAAAAAGGGTTTCAAGGCACGATTTTTCAAAATATTTAGATATGAAAAAAATTGGCAATATGATTCATTTCATCAACAAGGCTCTCCCTCCATCTCCCCCCCCCCTCCCGCATGTTTGTCATGTTAAACCCGACAGGATTTCAACGCACGAAAAATAAGCACGCGCGCATAAGCTGGTTCCAGATTTTTATGCATACTTGGACCAAAACTGACATGGCCGAGTCACACATACTTGTGCTGTACTACCGAGTGTCTTACTCTTAGAAGGGCAATTCCGGGAGGGGAGCTGCCACTTCAAGGAGATTTGGGTAGTGCGAGGGATCGGAAGCCGGGATCTCTCATGTCTCCGGAGTGGCTAATAAGCAGCTATTTTGTCTTCGTTGCTTGTCGTTTGGGTTCAATTTGTGTACGTAGAGAGATTGTGGCCTTGCTAATATTGACCCATTTACAGCATACCGTGCCCTGGACGGCGCATGTGGCTTTTCGCTTACAACTACATGGGGGGAAAGTTGGGGGCTATTGAATGCTCGAGGGGCCTTGGATCTATCTTGGGTATTGAATTTGCTCCGTGTTTCGCACGGGGGTTTGTTTCTGCTTCTGCTTCTGCTTCTGCTTCTGCTTTTCCGCCAGCGTCAAATATTTCAAGGGTTGTAATACCGACATGCTGTTTCCCACGTCGACGAGCCGGGGATCAGCCCTTTCAGCGATGCTTGAATTGCTGACCTGCACCTTACATGTACATGTTACTTTCCAGCAGTCCCATGCAGATGATGATGGCCGAAAAGAGAAGTCCGTATAAGGAAAATGGTGGCGCTGAAGCGAGGGAAGAAAGAAGGACCATGTCGCATGTACCAGGCCAGGTGCAGTTGATTGGCTTGAGGGACAGGGTACAGGGTACAAGGGACTAACGGAGCTGACAACTGGAGAGCTTTTTTCTTTTTTGCTTGTCCTGGGCGCCCGCATTGTAAAGGTTTCAATGACTGTGAGGCTTTGGTGGCGCCAAGGGGGGTGTTTTGGAGTTTGGGTTTCTTCGTTTGGAGTAATTCTGGAGTTACTTGTAAGAACTATTACTCCGATAGTCTTTGTGGCTGAGGAGAAATAGGAAAGTGCACAAGTACCAAGTCTGGGATAGAAATTACTATGTGGTAAGAGGTAAGAAAAGAGAGCCGTTGAAACTAAAAGGATAGCTGTTCTTGGCTCTCGAACTAGCAAAGGCTGTCAGCGGCAATCTTTACTCGTAACGGCCCAGTGTAGCCCAGTAATAGCCCAGCCCGAAGATCTTTTTTCTGGGGCCTATTTTCTTAGAATTCGAATTATTATTTTTGGGGGAGAGGGGAAAGGACAAGGAAGAACATGACAGGCCGAGGCTTGGTTTTTTTCGGAGTCTATTGCTGGTTTCCACAAGTAAAGTCTTTTTGTCATGTTAGCGCTAGTTTCTCCTTGTTATTGTGTCAGTTGCAGCGCGCGGAAATTAATGTTATATGCTTACTTTGTACGTTATATTTTCCCAATCAATGCGTTTGACTTTTTGTCCTGCCAAGAAGAGAATGTCACTGGGTCGGTCGGATGGATTGCCTATTGCGTACACCAGTTCGCAGAGCTGAGGAGGAGTTAATACATCCGCTCCGTTTGAATAGTATTTGCAAGCGCCCCCCTCCCCTCCTTAGGATGGACTATCCCTCTGTTGGATATGGTGAGGTTGAGGCTTATGGGCCGTTTGGGTTTTGAATGTCATGGGCGATGATGGTGCCAAGGGACTGGAGTTTGTGTATGGATTTGGAATGGTTTACGAGAGGAGTCGGGCGACTAGATTCTGCGGAGCTTTCCGTATTGGCGGCGCCGATACGGCAGAAGGTGAGGGAAGAGAGAGACGATAGTCTCGTGTAATTAACGGGCCCCTGATTCTACAGTAATGTCGAGGGCGGACAAGCAGAGCGGCTAATGTAATATCGCCGATGGGTACGGAGATGCTTCGGAGATAAGTCACGATCAGTGCCAGATAGAGATACGAGTGCATATTAAAAGGCCAAAGTCTTTCGTGTTGTGTTTAGCTTCGTGTTTTTCGTGTTTCGTGTTTCGTTTTTCGCTTTTGCTCACATGTATTTTTTACGCGAAGTTCAACCTTCTAACACCTTTACAAGGCTATTATTACAAAGGACGACGAGGGAACGATCATATTGTATCAACCTCCTGGGGATCATCATCATCCGGATTGAAAAAAGGAAAAATACCTCGCTAAGAGCTCTGCTCTAAGAAGGGCGTGGGATAAGCAGAAAGGTGACAAAGAGAAACCAAAGGATTTTAAACACCGGCATATCAACCACCGGCATATCAACTCTGTACGGGTATTCGAACCGAGAGGGCTACATTACCTGTTTAGGAATTTGTAGGGCTTTGCTTCCCCCTTGTTGCATCTTGTGCGTCTTCACGCCCCCCCTTGCTCTGTTTCTTGGTGTTGCCGGTGTTCATGTGCTTGTGCCGGTAAGCTTCTGGGTAGTTGCATGTGTGTAACGAATGAGCCTGTGCTCATGTAGTCTGAGGACAAGGCGCTTACATACTCATCGAGTTACATTGAGGATGGAGCTGTGTGCGTGTGTGAATGTATGTGCGGTGTTTGCTAAATATAGAGAGGCCTTGATATTGCTGTCATACCGCATTAGATACGAGTATCGTCTACACGACTTACATGGAGAGATGTACATACACGTATCCTTCACGGACGAGTTCGCCCGACCTCTCACCTTTCCTCGTAGATCTTATCAAATGACAATGACAAGCGAGCACGAGGGCGTGGCTCAAGTGGGATGAACCAAGTATTACAGTGAGGAAAATAATGCGGCGATGAAAGATTCCACACCGATGCTGGTCTATCGGGCGATGGGGGAGGGGGCGTGATGAGCTCTAGTGACTCAACCCCTTGTATAGCAGCTATTGATTTCCATCTTGTGTTGTTTATTTGCCATCAATCACAGATGCTTGTTCTTGTACTTGTACTTGTCATCGTACCATCATTCTGCATGCAAAGGGATGACGAGGCGAGTCGCTTCAAGAGCCGGATTGTGCTAGTGAGAGGGTGTGATATTGTAAGATGGAGTCCATGTAAATGTACCTAGGCAAATCGCACAAGTTGCCGGCGAAATAGCCGAAGGATAGCTGCAGTGGAATGGGGGGCGGGGGGGGGCGAGAGAGCGTGTTGAGGGCCGCACTGGGTATAGCGCTGTAGCACCTGTGCGATGCTGCTGCTACAGGGCATTTGGAGGGGAGCTGCAGTGGCCTCTATCCAGTAGTCCAGCGGGATACAGTATGGGGGATACGGTACCTGTACATGGCCAATAGTCTAGTAGGTGGGGTGGCGGAAACGAGGCTGAACCAGTAGCCCTGCTGTAAGGCTGAGGAGAGGAAGAGTTGGTAGAGGAGGGGAATATGTGGCGGTGTAATTTCCACGTGTGGCGGTGCGGACGAAAGGCGAAATTCAAGGCTGCAGTGGGTTTTAATGTGTGTACATTGTATTGCTGCTCATGAACCAACCAAACAAGCAAATCCGATTGAACCACCTGAACACTATTCTCTCACTGTATTGCGTCTCATAGACTGACGTTTGTTTGTTTCATCCTTGTGGCATTTCATTGCACTTTCGGCCCTGAGCGGCTAAAGTCTCCATCGCAGGCAACGTCTGGAGCAGGCAGAATTTTCCCCTCTTTCCACCACCATCTAAAGCCAGAGATACAGACATACAGCATACACACCTCGATTCAAAACAAAGGCAGAAATTCATTTCATCTCACATCAATCACCGCATACAATCTACCCAGCACCTCAAATCATCCGCAAATCTCAGGCCGTCAACAGCCGGTCAACCTCCGTCCATCGTGGCCTCGTCATCAGATAAACCGGCCCCGCTGCCGGCCGACGTGCCCCCTGTCGAGGGCCAGAGGGAGCAACTTGGCCACCAGCTCGAGCTGGAGGAGCACAAGGCGCTGGAGATGAGCGTTGTCGAGATGGCCTTGAGCACAGTCGAGGGGGTGCCCAATCTCTACGTCGGAGGGTGAGTGCTTAATGAACCCCCATGCATGAGATGAGATGAGATGATTCATATATAAGTGTATATATATACTATATATGTATACTATACTCATATGCTCATATATATTCTTACATCACAACTAACCACAAAATCTCTTACACAAACAAAAAGACTATGGGCCCTCCGCCGCTCCCAGTCCCTCCTGGACCGCAAAATCACACACGTCCTCTCCCTCGTCTCCTTCAACCCAGGTAGTCTCAAAAACTTCAAGGACGAGCCCTTCTCCGAGTACGGCAAGCCCTTCAGGCACCTCCTCATCGACATTGACGACGTTGAGGATGAGGATCTCCTCATCGAGCTGCCCAAGGCCGTCAAGTTCATCGACGAAGGCCTCCGCAGCGAGAGAAGCCGGCGCCAAAAGTCCACCACCACCAGCGACGATGTCGCCGCAGCAGAGAAGGCGGTTGAGCGCATCAGCCTAGACTCCAAGGAATCAGTCTCATCAGCATCAGATTCAGCACCAGCTTCCTCAGACCAGCCTCCTCCGCAGAGCCATCCCAGACGAGGAGCCGTCTTCGTCCATTGCGCTGCCGGAAAGTCCCGCTCCATCTCCGCCCTCATCGCCTACCTCCTCTGGCGCTACCCGGACCGCTTCACCGGTCCCGCCGGCGCGCAGCTGGCTTCGACCCTTGAAGGCCCCGAAGCCGATGAGTCCGTCGCCGAGCCTGTCCGTGCGGCGCTCGCACTCATCAAGCAGACGAGGCCCCTTGCGGAGCCCAACCCGGGCTTCATGGAACAGCTCGACCTCTGGTGGCAGATGGGCTGTCCCGCCGACGGCGACATAGAGACCCAGCCCATCTACCAGCGTTGGCTGTACCAGCGCGCCGCCAGAGAGAGCATCGCCGTAGGACAGGCCCCCTCACAGCTCTGGTTCGAAGACGAGCAGACCGAAAAGCCGTCAGACTCGTCGTCGTCGTCTTCGGCCCCCACGCCGGACAGGAAGCTCCGCTGCAAAAAGTGCCGCCGCATCCTCGCCACGGCGCCCTTCATCGTGCCGCACAAGCCCCGCGAAGACGATGCCTCAGCCGCAGCGGCGCCCTCCTCCTCCTGCCAGCACTTCTTCATCGAGCCCCTCAGCTGGATGCGCGCCGAGCTGGAAAAGGGCGAGCTGAGCGGCCGGCTGTCGTGCCCGAACCCAAAATGCGGCGCCGGCGTGGGGCGGTACGACTGGAAGGGCTTTCCGTGCTCGTGCGGCTCGCGCGAGGACCCGGCCTTTTCGCTGCAGAAGGCGAGGGTCGACGAGGAGCTGTCCAGGGCCCCTCTGCGGATGCCTCCTGGCCGAGGCGGCAACGGGAATTTGTGATTTACCAAGACAGGACACGGCAGGGCACCGCGGGATCATCATCAGGGGGGCGAGTTTGTCCGGACTCCGGAGTTGCTTGATTACTATCATCTCTCCTGGGCCATCGTAACGGCTCTGCTCTGTCAGCGGCTTAAGCATACTCCTTAAACTCCGGCCTATCAAGCATCGCCAGATCCCCTTGTATCATACCATACTAGCAGTATGGATTCTATATCTTCTTCCCGTAGCATAAGCCGCCCGGCCCCCCTTTAGCTCCGTAGAATAAACAATCAATAGCGCTGCCCTGTCGTCTACCTCGCCTACTTCGCCTACAATATATCTCAATTTTACTTTCTATCAGACCATATTCCTAACCGGGTACTTGGATAAAGAAAGGAAAGCCCGTGAGAAGAAGCGACAGCACTTGTACGCATTGGGTCGCCAAGACGGCTCAGTTCTAGACCATTACTTAACAAGGGGTCCATTCATCACCAGATGGCATGATGTGATTACAAAACTATTATACTTTTTCGTTCGATGATGACCAAAGCTGAAAACGGTCAAAAAAAAAAAAACAAATCATGTCAGTAATTCTCCGGCATTTGACACAGATTAGAAGCTGACAAGCCATGGCGTTTCCGCCGTCAGAAATTGGCCCCTTCGCCCACATCGCCGTTATAAGTCAAAAGCCGGCAGACGCTGCAAGCCAAGAAGTCCCGCCCTATCCCCTTTCCAGCAAAAAAACAGCGAGGCTATCATGATGGCTCATAGTACTATCAAGTCCCTTGTTTTGTCCGCCCATGCAGAAATGCACGGAACTGGACCCCTCCCTCACCCCCCCAAGTCGCGCGAGCCTTATGAGGCCAGCAAGGTTAGAAAAGAGCTTCTCCCCCGGCAATGCGGGTGTGATATTCCGTCGGCGACTTTGGGTTGCGTGTCGTCTGCACCTTCGCCCTACGAAAGTAGCACGATGTTAGGATTGTCAAGGGATGTGGGCATACGAACCCGGCCCGTCCGCGGTCCGATCGGGGCCGACATCCGGGACCAAAAAAGACCGTTTAATTCCTGATGGGCTGCTCAGCCCCCCCATCCCTCCGGAGCTTGAAAGCAAGAAAAAAAAAAGATGCAAAAGGCCACCGGTAGGATAGCGTACTGAGCCACGGGTCTTTTGTGCGTGTAAACAGCCCAGAGGAGCTTGATGCCGTGCTTACTGGTGTTGAAAGTGCCGTCTTTACTTCTTTCGGCCGCAGTCGGCCGCCACATCAGACCTAAAAGGCTCGGCTTTGGAGCTATCCGGCTCTCGCTCAATCGCAATAGTCCGAGTCCACCAATCGGCCTATGTGCTGCCAAGAATTGATCTTTCTTTACCCAGGAAGCTGGTCACTTGGCATGAGACAATGATGAGAAAACAAGAAAAACGAGGCTGTCCGAGTTCGACCGCCATGCCTCGGCATTTGTAACGAAATACAAGAGGCAAAACAAAGAACCAACACCAAGTATCCATAATAGTCTGTTAGCGTAGCGTCCAATAGTTTGCTTCTCTGTACGCCGATGCTCAATAACCTGGATAGCTGAAGCTTGGGTTTTTGCTTTGACCCCCACTTCTAGTGACTGGGTCCTCATTTGTTGTGCTTATCAGTCCCCTAGGCTTTCGATTTTCCTATCGTTGTCATCCGTATACACATGTTGTCTTCGTTGGTCTGGAACGGGAGTTGCAAAAACATCATATGACTTCGCTCCAGGCAACAGAATAAAAAGGGCCTGATTCGTGATTGGGTGTGAAGCTAAGACAAGCAGCGAGCGCCAGAGCCACGCTTGTTTGATAATCCTGCCGGAAGTACCATGTCCCGGGCGAGTCTGGTTCCTGGAGCCGTGAGATTATCATCGCAACTCTCTCATCTCTGGTCTCGCTTCTCTCATCCTTCATCATTGCCAAGGTCCACGATGTAGTCCCGAAAAAAAGTGCCGTCGAGTCCTACCGAGTAGGGCTTGCCCGATTTCCCGAAAACAGAACACACCCCTCTGTTGACAACAGTAACAGTGACGATATTACTCTTCAAGTCCGCTGGGCTTTCGAGGCACCCTTGAGCTAGTCTTGGAACCCTTGTCTCTTTTCTAGAAACTTTCCCTTTTGCCTGCTTATTCTCTCATGGTCGCTTAGTTGAACCTGGCCTAACAGCAAGCCTCCTCGCGCAAGCGTATTACCTAACCCCCCCGAGTCCTTTTCTTTGCCTTGGAGGCGTCTTACAAAGCCACCAGGATCCGATGAAACCACGCAGTTGGGATCGTCGGTGACCCCGGAGGCGCAAAGGGGGTGTGTGCGTGTGTCCCATTCGCCATGCAGTGCGGGCAATTAGGGCCTGTTCCCTTCTCCCCCATGAAATCTCGATCTTCTGGGCGACCTGCATTGCATTCCTGGGCGATGGTCCTCCCGAAAGGATAAACCTAGAGGCACACAGTAGCTGTTTCAGCAACTATTTGCGATCGATCCTGAGGTGCTTTGTCGCATGACCCGCTGGCGTAAGCAACTTGAATTTCAAAATTCCAAACGGGGGCATAGGTAGACAAGTCAACTCCAACTGAGTCCCAGGGGGGTAATTTTGGGGCCAACGCGAGTGATCTGTCTGATCCCAAAGAGGAAAAAGCCAGAGACAACCAGAGGAGATCCCTTTCCAAAGGTTCAAGCCCGTCTTGTTTCAATCTTCGCTTGCATGAAGCTAGTAGCCCACCGCAACCCAGGACCATATCTTCGTCTCCATGTCTAAGATGGAGAATTAGCCGGCCGATAAATGTACCGGCCAAGGGAGTCTCCTTTCAGGGTCCTTTCAATAATGCACCGAATCGTCTGCCATCGATGACAGCTCGGACCGTGTGACGGGGACAACATGCTGCACCTCCACAAGGCCACGTCTTCACGCCCGTCCATCAGAACGGTATTCAACGCCTCCCCCGACACAGAGAGGCTGGTAATGGGTCATGCACGGGCCCTCGCAGGGCGTGAATCTCTGCAGGCCCTTTCCCCCCATGGCCATCTCCTCTGGATGCTTGAACCGCGTAACATATCCGTAGAGCACGACCCGCGGGTCAGCTAATCTGTCCACCACATTCTTACCAATCAAGTGGGTAAATTAGCAACCGCGCATGGCCCTGGATTTGAGTTTCTGTGCTCACTGCCGTTGACTGACTGACATGATCTGGTCGGCGGTAATGATGAGAGCCTTGTCAGGAGCCTGAAATCTGAGTCTTCTCAGGGATATCGTACCTGTAGAGCTGTAGACGAGGAGTTCAAGGGCGAGGGGAGAAAATGACAAAGACTCTTGGTAATAAAGGCGAGCTCCGAGATAGAAGACGGATACTTAGACATTGGTGATTGGCTGGTGAGGCGCTACAGCGACCAATTTGCAAATGGGCAAAAGTTGCGACGGCATGTGCCAAGTCCCGCCGCCAGATTGGCAGCCAATGGTTGAAACAGCCGCCAGAGTGCGGGACAATGGAATGGCAGATCCCAAAAACTCCCCAGATTACAGCATACCAGGAGTACGGAGTACCGAGTTTAGTGGTATCGTACTGTACTGCTAATACTGCTCCAACTAGCACCAGTGTATGCAGAGTCAGCCGGAAAGGGCATCGTCGACGTCTCCATGTCAGCACGCCAAGCAGGGTTGCACAATGAGCATTGCTACCTGTCGACGGCAACGGGGGGGTTTCAATTTCAGTTTGGCCTGGCTGGCGGGGAGGGGTGTATGAATCTGATTGCGAGATGTGCTGACTGAGCTGGTGCATGTGTGCAGACAGACAGACAGACAGACAGACAGACAGGCATGGAGCTGGCACCGGGCTCGCTCACAGACAGACAGCTTTGGAAGGATGCTAACAGCACTCCTCCGAAGTTCTCTCCGTCCGCCGGCTGGACTGTAACCCGTAGCATACTCGTACATCCATAAGCGAGAGCGACGGCAATGCGCATGGGCCAAGTTTCTTGGGACGCACCTTCGGTACTCGTACGGAGTCGTACCTGTAAGTCCTCTGCAGCCACTCCATCATCGTGCCCGGGCCTCACTGGCCTAGTACGAGTATTGATTGCCCTCTGAGCCTTGCGCTTTGAAATTGACAGGTCGTAAAGCCCCTCTGGTGGGAATCGGGGACCAAGAGGCTTTAGAGTTTGTCTTGTGGTCGCCGATGGCCATAATTGGAGCTCCTGCAACTCATCATCTTTCGACGCCCGCAGCCTCGCCTCGGAGCCTTTTCCGTGGAACGCCGGTCGTCCTCGTTCTTGGACCGCTCTGCTCTGGGGATCAACAATCATATGATGCAGAAAAAAAGAGAATAGCAAATCAGTGGATGAGAGGGCACACCACACCCCCCTCCAGCTTCCTTTTCCCTTTTCTGCGGAATTTCATCCTGTGGAGGGCGTGTAATTTCAGCCCTGGCTGGAACCACAGTGGCAGAAAGATGCAGCTGGGAAAGCTGTAGGGACACCGCAAGTGTAAGCACTAGTAAAGCTGCCACCATCATGTTGCTTTAGGCTCCCCATCTGTCACGAACTGCAGCTATGCGCTGTATTGCACAAGTAGTGCTACTCCGTAATACAAGTAAGCTTTCAGACGGATCGATCACCAGCTTCCGTAGTTAGCAAGACTCCCGATTTGGTAGTCGATGTCAGCGAGGCAACTGAGAACTCCGTTTCGGGACCGAACCAAACACTCGTCACCATGCTCTTCAGGTTTTTTGTTATTACTGAAAAAGAAACTTTCCATCAGCAGACTTGATGATTGGTTACTTCGTATTAATTGCGTTTAAATCTCTATTCTTGGCCCTGTTGGAGATGGAAATGAGATGCTGACGAGAACTGCTCACCATGGCCTGTTTGCACGCCCTCTTCTTGGCGCGAGACTGCCGCTAGAGCGGGCAATTGAGCCATGTTTCAGCTATGCTGAACATCTGACTTGATGAGGATGAATATTGTCAACTGGGAGTAAAAATGACATGATTTACTCGGAGCGATGAAGAGAAGATGTGAAGCAATAGGAATTTGCGGACAAATGCGCTAATCGTTAGCAAATTAGGGGACCGAAGCGTCGGAGATACCGGGTGTGGCCTTTTGTCAATGTCGCAACTCCCTTCAATGTGTCTACTCAGAGCGGGAAAAGGCGAATGGCACTCGACAAGCTGATGCAACGGGGTTTTGAAAATAATTTGTCATGACAGGTTGGGCCATGGGGGCCGCAGGGAAGAAGATGACGATGAGAGATGATCCCGCTCGACCCGCGTGATGAGCTGTGAGTTACTTTTTTGGTGGCTCGGTTGGCACAGATGGGAAGTAATTGGGCTGGGATGCTCTCTCGCGGTCCCTTTTGGCGGCTTCGGCTTGGCGTTTACGCTGCAGACGCTGTTGATAGAAGGAGCTGTATATGGTATGAGTATGATGACAAGTAAGACGAGCTCCTGTACAAGCACTTACATCTTGAGTTCAAAGACGCGAGGCTCGTCTTCCTCTTTGGGAGTCTCTGTACCACTCTTGTCCTGATATCTTGTCAACACTTGTTTGTCAACCAACGCTTTCATCCAGGCACAACTTACTGCTTCGGTTTCATCCTTGGTCTCCTTTTTATCTGTGTCCTTGTCCTTGTCCTTTTCTTTGTCTTTGTCCTTCCCTTCATCCTTTTCTTTGTCCTTGTCTTTTTCTTTCTCTTTTTCCTTCTCCTTCTCCTTCTTCTTGCGTTGCTTCTCTTGGTACTCCTTCATCAACTTGTCCTTCTCCTCGGCCAAGTCCTTCTCCCGCTTGGCCTTGATGGCCTCTTCATCAATCTTGGGAGTGCAAAAGTACCGATCCTTTAGGTGGAGAGGGCAGATGTAGAAGAAGTCCTAGGCCAGCCGCGTTAAGCCATGTGCCAGTCCGGGGATCTAGACTGAGGAGGTACCTTTTTATCGGGCGTGATGAGCACCGATGAGCTGGGCTTGTAGCAGATATCACAGGCTTTGGCGGCCGATTCGGCAACCTTTCGGTGTGTGTACAGGTTGGGGAAAGGCGCCGCCATTGCTGCGAGTGTCCAGCAGAGATGCAGCTGCTGCTCGTCCTCGTTATGACGGTGTATGTATCATGAATTCATCAGCGGGTATTTTGAGATGAGATGCTTTGATAGTGATAGACTTGATAGACGCACTGCTTGTCTAAGTTGTTGCCTGAGACTCAAACGCTCCTCCCAATAGCTGTGGCGGGGAGATGCTGGCGGCCGGATGACTAATCACCTGACGTCGCTGCAGCTGCAAAGTCGCGTCAGTGGACGGCAATAATCTGAAGCTGAAGCCTCAAACGCGACTTGATTCTGCCATCGATTCGCCTCCATTGCAGCGAATTTTTTCCTGGCTGTAAATCCCCTCGCTGCATCAAAATGGCACAGTCACTCAATTCCAAGCGGATCGACGCCATCTTCCAGTCTCGGCCAGACATCATCGCCAGGATCAACCAGGCTGCAGGTATATACATTGCATGCCCAGAGCCAAAGACTCAGCTCGAATCAAATTGCTAATCGATACCCTAGACTCCCCTGGACGAATTGCCCTGTTCAATGACATTGCCGATCACGTCTACGAACGATTGCAAGAGAATGGTGAGCCGGCGCAGAAGAGGAGGAAGGTCGGCGCTGAGCAGGCAAATGGCAGCCCAAGCAGCCAGGTAGCGCTGTCGAATGCGGCAGACGAGGCGGTTCTCTTGGAGATCAAGGAGATTTCTGTATCGGTTCCGCAGAGGAAAAAGCTGGAGATTTGCTTCACCTCAAATCACTTATATGCTAGAGCCCCTGGGACAACAGCTCCCCTCCCAGGCGTCAGCTATGCGTGGAGAGATATTGGTATGTCTTCTTCATTCAGATCCCCCAAAACAACAATGATACGTCTTTTTTACTGACAAACTTGACAGAATATGCCTTCTATCTTCCCGTGCCCGACAAGGCCCAGGTTCAATACAACTACATTCTCTTCCCCAAAGGAACTTGTTTACCCCCCAAGACAGGCACTCCCCCATCCGCTGAGCCATTCGTCTTCACTGTTCCCGCCACTGCTCCGAAGCAGGGAACTATTGGGGGATCCGAAGCCGGGGCTGCGGCTGCAGTATCAGATACTTACAAGTCCTTGTTCCACTGGGCCCTGACCAAGCGATTACAGGCAGCCGGCAGTGCTGTCAAGATTGTCTCTGCCGATCCAAACAAGTTCCGCAGCATGGTTCGCCAACCTCATCGACCCAACGAAACGGCAGTCCATGTTAGTGGCTTCAGGGGCTCCAAGGATGGCTACCTCTTCTTTCTTGAAAACGGCATCTTGTGGGGATTCAAGAAGCCGCTCATCTTCATTCCTACCAATCGCATTGCCGCAATCAGCTATACCAACATTCTTCAAATCACGTTCAACATAGTGGTTGAAATCTTCACCGAGGAGGATGGCAATACGGAAGAACTGGAGTTTGGGATGCTGGACCAGCAAAACTATGGCGGCATTGACGATTACATCAAGATGAACAATCTCCAAGACAGGAGCATGGCTGAGCAGAGGAAGGCGAAGTTGCAGCTGGCCGAGAACAAAGGCCCCAAGAAGAAGGAAGGAGACGCAGAAAACGGCGATGCTGAGGCCGCCGAGGGAGGAGACGGCATGACGGAGTTGGAACGTGCACAACTCGAGGCTGAGCAGCAGCTACAAGATGACGAGGACGAGGACGAAGAAGACTATGATCCTGGTAGTGAGGGTGAGAGTGAGGGATCTGGCTCCTCTGACGATGACGACGACGACGACGATGATGAAGACGATGATGATGAAGACGATGAGGAAGACGACGGTGAAGAGGAAGAAGGCGGAGAAGAAGCAGAGGGCGAGCAGCAGGAAGAGGAAGAGGAAGAGGTCAAAGAAGAGCCGCCAAAGCCTGCTGCCCCAGTGAAGCCAGCGAAGCCGACACCTCGGGCCGCAAGGGCCACAAAGCCCGCAGCGAAGCCAGCAGCAAAACCTGCAGCAAAGCCAGCCCCAAAGCCAGCAGCAAAAGCGGCACCAAAGCCAGCAGCGAAGCCAGTCAAGACTGAGACATCCAATGTGCCTGTGCGAACCGGTTGGGCAGCTTTCACTTCTAGGCCAGCAGCCGACGTGGACATGGCCGAGGGCGATGACGAAAAGTTTGACGTAGTGGGATGATGGAAAAGTACATGCAGAAGAGATCTCTCTCTCGTTGGTGCTTCATGGGCTTTGTGTGCGCATTGTTGTTATTGGCGTTGAAAAGGCATAGTTAAAGTAGCCACGGTGATCTTTTCATGTGGATCTTGAAGTTTCTCTGTCCAGGTTATATGGATGCATAAAGGCTTCATAGCCGCTGTTGACAGCAGGGCTTCCAATACACAACTGTTTCATGGTGATGACACACATGATGAATGACTTGAGAATAATGAATCGGCTTGTAATCCGTATGCTCAAAGCGTAACTTACAAAAATACATTATAACTCGAGTATCATAGCCCCATAACCTCAAACCACCAGATGGCTAACGCGCTCATGTCCAATTTTACATACTGTAGACTTGAGTCTCCAACTCCGCAAGGCTTCAGCTTCCCAATGCCACATCTTGAATCATATCAGTTGACATGAATCAAGCAGAATCCTGTGAGAACATGATCTCATCTATAACCTGCATAGTAAATGAACCTAATCCCAGTTCACAATGCTGGTACTTGTGCTTGTGCAACTGGCCTGCTGTCATCTGGGGCATTAGTTTACGATATGTTTCCAGATGTCTCGACTTTTGTATCCTCAGTCCCTGCCGGAAAAAAAAAAAAAAATCTTTAAGGGAGAAATGGGCTGGATATCTGGATATAGTCGCATCGGTTAAATTACCAGGGTTGACCGTAGATGCTGGGATATGGGCATGCTGATTCTCGGCTTGTCGGTCCATTGAGTAACCATTGAGAATGATATACGCAACTGGACGATCCTTTGAACTTCTTTTTGATACTATTTGAGAATGATTCACCCCTTTTTCTCTTTCAACTTTAGTTTTGTCTCAATATGGTATATAAAATCCTGCACCGGTTTACAGAATTTTGAGCACTTGGGGCAGGGCTCGTGATACTAGACATCTGCAGATGGCTTTAGTAAAGCTGGGCAACGCTGGCACTCAAGGGTATGGCCTGCATGTAGAACTGGTCCTGTAAAGGTCTGATTCTGTCCCTGAAGACAAGGCACATTATATGTGAACTGAGGCCACCGAATCAACTGTCTTTTGAAGCATATCTTCCAATTTTTCTGTTTCCTCGTCGGTATCTACACTATGTGTCGCCGTTTAATAGAGGTTGATAAGCTATGCTTCATATACGACGGCGAGTGGATCTATAGGGTATGAAGGATCAAAAGAGGAGCGTCTCGGGTTATCGAGGACAATTACTCTCTCATAGCACCTGGAATGTAAGAAGTCTTGATACTTACGAGTAACGGCTTTCTAGATTCCTCGTCAAACCATTAGGATTCATGCATCAGGCATTTCT